CTGGAGACGTGACTTACTCGGTCGTGGGATTCATGGACAAAAATAAAGACACGTTGTTCCAAGACCTCAAACGGCTGCTTTATAACAGGTTGGAAGGAGAGACAAAAAATCAATGATAATGAAATGAAACTACAGTAAGAATGGACTGGTCAAGTTGTTGTTCCCGGACGGCGCCAGGGCCTTGAGCGAAGTCACGCGAAGACCTCCCACGGCCGGCTTTCTGTTCAAGGTAAATCTCCTTTTCTGATTACCCATGTCTATTAACTTGATGTATCAATTCAAGCTTTGATCGGACTAAAGATCTGATAAATGGTACTCAGACCCCAGCTAGGAAGGGTGAAAAAAATAGCCCCCATTCAACGTTGGTTTTTTTCATTCTTATAGTCAAACTTGTTGATAGTTTCTACCCTTTCGAGTCCCCGAAAATGACTCAGAAGACCAAAAAAACGCTAACAACTTGGCGGAAATCTTAAATATATACACAATAATTCTAGAAAGAACGCATAGTTTCTTATATACGAAAAGACGTACCTGCCTACCGTAACCTAGCTGCGGTAGGTGGAATCGGTCTGAAAAACTTGCGTCGGCATTTCTGATGACAGACTATCACAGATGGGTGAAGTTTCATCAAAATAAAAAAAAAATTTTTGAAATTTTTTGAAAATTACAGAGACAGCGTGTTAACTTTTCTTCCACATTGGTATACGTTTTAAGATAGTTATATATTGAAAAGAGTCCGTTTTCATGCATTCAGTACTTCAAGATAATTTGTGAAAAAAAGTTTACCTTCCAGTCAAGCTTTGATGAATCAAATGACCAAGTTTTTCTTTTACAGAACTCTATGAGCGACTTGGTGAAGCAGCTCGCCAGCAAGGAGCCTCACTACATTCGTTGTATCAAGCCGAACGAGGAGAAGAGCAGCTCCATTTTCGACAAAGAACGCGTCGAGCATCAGGTAAAAAACGAGGCAAAAAATAAGCAGCTACTGGGAAAAGCTGTAGTGAATTCTATAGGGAGTTTGAGATTTAGTAGGTCTTATAGGGAATATAATTTCCTAAAGGGAGAAACTTGAAGGACCCTCTATAGGAGGCCTTTTAAAACCACTTTGTCGGTTTTGCACTCCCTAGAATCGCGGGAGTGGGCTTAACGAGTTTTTGTTGGAGCTCCCTATAGTGAATCCTGAATGTCCATTTAAGGGGTCTTATAGGGGTTCAGTAGGGGTCTTTTAAGTATACCTCCGTAGGGGACTTTTTTTTCTCCCTTTAGGACCAACTACAGCTTTTCCCAGTAGCAGTAAGAGTAATTGGGAGAGGAAGTCAATATAACAATGAAAAAATCGAAGAAAAGTTATGAAAAGAACAAAGTGAATATCTGTTCTTATGGAAAATTAACGATTCTTGGGAAAAATCAATCAATCAAATCCTTTATTTTGTTGTTTTAGTCCGATGTAATCAACTAGGCCGTGAACAAGAACTTTAAAAGCTATAACGAACAACCGCCTGTGGCGAGCTGAAAGTCCAAACGTGTAGTCGAAAGAGTTGAAAGCATGGTCTTACGGTCCTTCGCCTCGTCCTTCTGAGCGTAGTCCATCCAGTTGCGCCTTGACGAGCTCAGAATGTAGTGAATGTTGAGCTGGAGCCCGGAGACCGTGCTCTAGGTGGAAGCCTCAGAATGAGAGCAACCACTTCGAGTGAAGATTTTACACGGAATGTTAAAGTATCATGAAACTTTTACCGAAATTTTCATTTGTCGAAGGTGCCTCACCTCGATAATTTCCTGAATGCCCGAGAAAAAGAGAAAAATACTCAAAATCCATCTTGCGTGACTTTTTTTTGCAAGAAGTCTTCGCCTGATCTATTGTTCACACCTGATCTATTGTTCAAAATTTTTAACACCTATGTAAGGCCTATTCTAGAATACTGCTCCGAAGTTTTTAACCCTCCGCATAACTCTGATCTCTGCTACAAACTGGAATCTCCTCTCAGAATTTTTTCTCGTAAAATTTTTATTAGGTCCAACTTATCCTTTGAATCTTACTCTGATCGCCTTGAACAATTTGATATCTCTCCACTTTACCTCAGACGAGCTATATCTGACATTCTGACCCTTCATAAAATTGTCTTCGGTATCGATCATTTTCCCCAGTTCGAACTTTTTTTGCCCTCAGGTCCAATTTAAGGCGAAATCCACTTCGACTGCGTTCTCAAGGTCAGTTTTTCTAATGATTTTTTTCTTTAAAACAATTCCTACTTGGAACAAACTCACTTCCAAATTTCAATTCAGCCACCACCCCAAGTCTTTAAAAAAATTTACTGGTCAATCTACCATTGCACGAGATCTTCTTGTCTATTCCTCCACGACTCAAATGATGTATAACTGTATAATGTATTCTCTCAAATTCTAGATCCAAGTGAACTCGTTAGGGTTCACGCTGATCTGTCAATAAATTATTATTATTAAAAAAAGTCTTACTCTGGAGAACTAATGAAAAAAATGAAGAGTAACTTTCTAGGTTCGATACCTGGGACTTTTGGAGAACGTAAGGGTCCGCCGCGCAGGATTTGCCCACCGGATGCCCTACGATCGGTTCATCAATCGGTCCGTTTTCAACTTATGATATCGCCTTTTTTGCGTTTGAGTTTCTTTTTTTGATTGAAAGGTTCAGGTACAAGCTTCTCTGCCCAGCGACGTGGCCGAATCCGCGCGGAGGGTCGCCTCGGGACAATTGCGTCCGCATTTTGCAGCATGTGCAGCTCGCCGAAGACTGCGTTCCTGGCAAAACCAAGGTTTCGACTTCTCTTCTTCCCAAACAACTTTGAATCGAATCAGATCTTCATCCGAAGCCCGCAGACTGTGTTCCGGATAGAAGAGCTCCGCAGTGAAAAGCTCCCAGAAGTTGTGACGTTCTTGCAGAAGGTTCTTGTGAACCCTCTCATCTTTGCAAATAATTCATGAAATAGATGGTCCGAGGTCAACAGGCGCGAGAACGCTACCGTCGCCTCAGAGCCGTGTATCTCATCATGGGGGCCTACCGCCGTTATAAACTCCGCTCCTACATCCTGAGCGTCATCCGGTCTTTCCAGTCAGCTTTGCGTCGATTTGCTATCCCTTCAATTCTTTTCGTACTCAACGTAAAACGAAAATCGTAATGTCAGAAAAGGCGGATAAGAATTTTTCCGAATGATAACTTGTTTTTCTGGGCGGAAAAAAAAATCAAAAAACTGTTTAGGGAGTGGAAATCTTAATGGTCATAAAAAAAAGCTGGACACAATTGATACATGAAGAAAAACTGAGAATTGAAAATGTATAGTGAGAGCGCATTATGGTTTTTTGCAGTAAACTCCTCATGTTAATAAAAGTTCAAACCCTAACAGCCGTTTTTAGTTGATAAATGGAGTTGCAAGTAATTTATTCAGTTATAAATTTCATTAGAATTATCCGAAAATAGGGCCTTTCTTAAATATAAATCATGAACCCTAAAACGTTGCCCCTCCAGAGGCGTCCGACAGATGAAGGACCTCGGAAAGTCGGTCCGTTGGCCAGCGCCGCCGGTCGTGCTGATTCCCTTCGTGAACCGACTCCGGATAATGCACCAGCGTTGGAGAGCCGCGACGATTCTCTCGCGGATGCCCGCTCACCTTCGTGCGGCTCTTCCTCAGAAGGTACCTCACTGTTTTCCTTTTTAAATGACTTCCTCCTGTTCAGATCGCCGCCTTCGAAGTTCTCAACGGCAAACGCGCCAATTGGGGATATCCTCGTCAGTGGAAGGGCGATTATTTGTCCTTGGTAATTTCAAGTGTCTCACTTATTTGATATTCATTCGACTTTGTTCCGAAGGGTTTTTTTATATATCGAATTCTTTTTTTCCGAGAGGACATTATCCGTTAATTAAATTTTTTACTGATTGAGTAATAATTTTCCGACTGGTGAGAAGTTTTTCTTTTCTTTTCTTTCGAAAATTTCAATGTCGCTCCAACCAATATTCAGGATGAATTAAAATTCAAACCTACGTTGTCGCTTTTTCCTGAAAATTTTATTTTTCGAAAAGATTTACATTCCCTTTCCGTGTGATTTTTTTCTCTTGACAGTTAAACTTTGAGTCTGCATATCTATTCAATTGAAATGTTTCGTGAATGATTGACGATTGACGAATGATCGTGCAGACTCGCCTCCTAATCTATCTATAATTTGAAAAAGTTTTAAGTTAGATCCAAACTTTTCACTTCTCGTGACGATTTCAAGTAAATTTCAAAGATTTGTCATACTTTTTAAATTAGATGTAGTTTCTGGTGGAAAAAAAATCAGTCTGCTTATAGCAAGAAGAGCTAGACCCGCCTGGTGCAAGTGTCTCCATTTATCACGATGGCCTTTCCACTTTGCGGACCTCGCATCCGTTTGGAAAAGTCCTGTTCAGCAGCTACATTCAAGTCAGTTTCTGAAGCAACACAAAGCAAATCACATGTTTTCAGAAGTTCAACAGATTTAACAAAAGCACGTTACGAGTGTTGGTGGTGACCGACAGGTTCGTCGCCAAACTCGACGTCAAGAAGTTTAAACTCCTCAAGGAGCCCATCGCCCTGCAAAGTGTTAGATATTCTTCATCTCTTCTTATTAAATTCAGCTAGTTCAGGTATCGCGAGTTTCGGTGAGCTCGGATCCGAATAATTTGTTCGTGGTGCACGTCGGCGACAACGACCTGGTGACGTGTCTGAAGAACACCAAAGACGAAGAAAGAGTTGGAGAACTCGTCGGAACTCTTCTAGCCCACTACGACAAGTTCGTTTGCATCAAAACTATGAACAATCCATTTTGACTAGTGGAATATTCAAACAAAAATGGATGGAACGGCATGTAAAGGACGCTCAAGAACTTTCAAGAAATATTCATGAAAAAATAGTGACTCTTCATAAATCCTTTATCGGACTTTCAAAAAAGCATAGGCGAGTTTTGTTGAAGATTTAAGTAAAAAAGACCTATTTTCTAAATCATGCAAAAATTTCTACGCCTCCAAAGAGCAAGAATTTTGAGAATAAAAAAAAACTTTGAGAGTAAATTTTCTCCTTTTACAGCGTTTCATGAAGCCAACTGAGTTGAGAGGATAAAAAGAGAAAAAAATTTAAAAAAAAAAAGAAAAAAAAACTATAAATTCTTGGATTCGGAGAAATTTTTACATGGATTCTGTCTCTATACGAGGATTTCCAGTCTAGAACCTTTTTTTAAAAGTTTCCCATTTATTGTTACAGACAGCAGATGCGAAGACCGCCAGTCATTGTGCAGCCAAGCTTGGTTTGTTCCTTGGGAGGAAAGTCGCGGACGGTTCGCGTCTTGGCCTCGCCGGAAGCCGCTCAACCGCCAGTCTTCAAGAAGAACGGCAACGACGTCGACCTCATCTGTCGGCAGCTCGCCACCACCGTTGCTTAGGCTTTGTAAATTTCCAAACCAAATCCTTTATTATTTAATCAATTCTAACTTTTCATAGTTGAAACAGTTACCGAACTCTGCCAAAAAAAAAAATCGACTTTGATTAATAAGTTTCACTTTCCAGTAGTCTAGAGTCTCCGAGAAAGTTTGTAAGATTAGCCCGCGTCTCAAAATAAATTCTAGTCAATTCTATCACAAAAACCTTTGCTTACCGGTTTACTACCCTTTTTTCATTCTTTACTCCGGTATCATCTTCTTAATGTGAATAACTCTCAAGCCTTACTTTTGCCTGTAAAAACATATTCTCTTCCATTTTCTTCACTCTAATATCTAAAATCTACTTATGTAATTATTTTCCACTAACTTGAATGGTTACAACTGCGTTTTCCTTTTTTTTTCTTTTTTATCTCCATGTTTTGAAAAATGTTAGAGTAAGATTCGAGTATAATTTTTCATGTTTTCGCATCACCTCAAGTTTATCCCAAAGTAAGTTGTCTGCCATGAATCATCAATTTTTCAGCTCAACTCATGATTGCAATAAATTATAACGCGCTAGCTTATTTGCTTTACGAAGATTTAAGAATACGGTGGAAAACTGTCAATTTGTTCATTTTGTTATCCCGTTTTAATAAATTTTTTTTTCATGTCCAATCAAGCGATTTCTTATTGCTAGGTCTTACAAAGTAAGAACTACTAGCGTCACTTCGCTCTCTCATTCGAATTGCAGCGTGTCGAAGACTTTGATGAATTGCTCTGCATAATGGAGTCAAGGAAAGCGATGAAAAGAAGACTCGTCATAGTTGCGTCCAGGTAAACTGATGAAATGTTACTTAAAAGTTACTTTTTCCGGCCGGGAATGTTTTGGAGCGCTTTTGAAGATAGTATCTTCGCATCTTCTATTAACGCTGCTCCCTCAGGCTAAGAATACGCCTGAAGAACCGCGAAAAGATCAGAAAAATAAACCCATAGAGATGAAGGTGTTCAATCAAAAATCTGGAAATAACAAGCTTTACGTGGTTGAGGGCCCAAGGGGAAATCGAGGTGAAGTCATAATTATATGCTCTGAATCATCGCAACGACGGGATCGTTGGAAGCCGAAGGACCTCATTCAAAATGCCATAAATAAGAATAAATATCATTTTTCCTTCGTTTGCAGTAATAGGTAAAATGGAGAATCACTGTGGTCGTAAAGGTCACAAGGTGATTTTCAACAATAAAGGTACTTATCAGACGAGTTTCTGGACTTTGAACTCCGCAAGAAGAACTGAAAAAGAAGTTCAGCTAAGTATGAAATTTGAAGTTGTTAATGAAATACCTCATTTCTTTTCTAAATTTCAGATAAAAAGGTTGGGAACCTGCGCAAAGTCCTTTTTTTGAGTTATGAAGGTTTCAAGTTTCTAATTTTGAGATGACTACGTTGACAAGGATTTTCAAACTTCCAAAAGAAAACAAAATCATTTCTCCGAAAGGAGAAGTTCTGCTGGTGGCAGATAGGAAAAGTCTTCATTTATAGCTTCGAAGTGTTTGAGCGAATTTGTAGAATATCCCTAACCTCTCAGTAAACTGACCTCTTTTCCCTTTTTACCACAACTAATAAACTCGTGAAGTCTTAAAAAGTCTTTTTTTTTTTGACTTTTCTTTTCTTTAAAAAACTTTCAAAGATTTGGCCAATCAATCTAAAAAGATTTAGTAAAAGTGAACTATTTGCGCTTGAAAAGCTGTAGTTATTTTTTTGAAAAAAAGACTCTTCTCTTTCAATTGGCGAATCCTCAAAGTTTGTCTGAAGATTTTAGTTACTTTAAAAAGCATCATGAATCCACAACTCGACCACCTCGGGGCGAATTCCGCGATAATTATGAAAAGCGCTGATGCGAGGGACACGCCCCTTTGAAAACGGCCGGCCGCCGCGAAATTCAAACTACTCTCGTGCGACGGACCTTTCCTCCTTTTTTCTTCCTTTTCCGCTGAGTCCTGGGACATTTAATTGTTCATCTCAACTAGTTACATTCATCTAATAATGAACTCAAAAGTTGTTGTATTTTCGATAGCTCTATGCGGCGCTATCTATAGTCAACCGCTCGCGACACCGGAAGGTAAGCGATCTGAATTTTTTAGGACTTCTCAAGGTTCCAAAACAAAAAAACGAAACTTTCAACTTTACCACTTTTTAGAATCTTCAGAAGCACAATTTGATATTAAAATCGTGAAAAGAACAATAAACGCGGCTTGAAAATATTCCGCAGTATCCTACGTTCTGTTCCTCTCGTCAGCGGTGAATCGGCTATATTGAATACAAAAAGTAGAAAATTTGTGTTAATTCTTCGAAATCGGCCTTGTTATGTACAATCTATCTTATTTTCCACCTCAAAGGAAAAACTGATTTCACATTCTAAAGCCTCGGCTTTTAGCCAATTACTCAAGATATAGATAAGATAATCCCTCCCTCGCATGATTCCTTTACCCTTACGGATAAAGTTCAAAACTAATCTGGTTCACCTTTATCAAAGTTTAAAGAAAGAGAAACATTTTCTTTTTGTGAATTATTAGTTTGATCGCGAATAACTTCCTCGTTGAACGTTCACGTCAGTTTTTTTTCAGTGAAAAAAAAGTTAGAAAGGGCTAATTTAAAAAAAAGATTTTAACACTTTGAAAAGTAAGAACCGTCTTAAAATCACAAGAACTTAAGAAAAGGTTTTAAAAAAAAATTTTTTCTCTACATCGAAAATGAAATCAACAGATTTAGCACTACGCACCTGATAGCATCACCTTATCAAGATATTTTGGGATATATTGTTTTATTATGTTCAAGAGATCAAATTACCTGACGTTTTCGGCTTTTGAATCAACTGAACCACTTCTAAAGAAAACGTCAAAAAAAGTTCAAATAGTTCTGGCACGACAAAAATTCATGGCGTGTTCATCGTAGAAACGGAACATGCTTCAAAACGAAAAATCGTGTTCATCGGAGCGCCAAACTTACTTACTTAGATACTTAAATGGTCCATCTTCGCTTTCGACCTTTTATTGTCTTTTATTGATCGAAGCGTGGACCACACGTTTTCCAGGAGGTCTTATGCAATCGATCATCCAGTGTTGTCGTCCTGGTTGACTGGTATTCTTGCGAAAAAGTTCCACCCATGGTGTTGAACGTGTTATAGCATAATTGTGGTCTGATAATCTTTTTTGCCTTGCCATGGCTAAAAAAAGACCGCCCATTCTGTTAACAGAAGCAGGCCGAACTGCGTGACCGGTGTACCGTTAGCCGCCATAAATGGCGTTGCCTCCTCATCAACGCCTAGAGATGGTACTTGAAAGGGTGCCAAAGTTGGTGTAAAACAGTACTAACTTTTGTTTTGGAGCATTTTTTTTTGCGTTTCGAAGCAATTTTCGTTTTGTCCAATGAACACGCCATCAATGAATCTCACAATTAGTAAAATAAAATGCAAAAGGAAGGCGTTTAGATGATTATTCTGTATTTATCACCGCAAACTAGTGATAAATGAAGTAATATTTCCTGTCAATATCGCAATTTTTATTAAGAGATTGAGATGACACACAAAAAAAACCTGAGCTTTGAGAAGAGATATTTTTTAGTGGTATGTTTTATTCTTTCTGTCTGACGTTGCAATATTTCTGCTTACGTAGCCTTCAAAACCAGTGTTTCTATAATAAGATAAACGTGAAACTGACGAAACGCCAGAAACATTCGCTCCGATTCGGTTAAAAAGAGGCGAAGACGTCATGTCCTTGCTGCTTCTGACATCCCACGGGTTGGCTCGTAATCAGTTTGAACTCTGAAAAAGAACATTTTCCTGGAAATGGCTCATTTCAATAAAACTAAGTAGAAAAGAGAACCCAAAACTTTCAGATAAAGACTGTTCGGCGACCGACTGTCAGGAAAGTCCGCTCGCCACGAACCGATTCAACGATAACAAGTTCGCCAGTTTGTTCCGGAGGCTCATATCGAAAAACCCTGGTTTGTGAATTACATAAGTTAGCTTTGAACGTACCTACGGTTAAAAAAATATTCCAATACCTAAAAAAAATGATATTCCAATACCTAATTTTGATTTATTTTACTTGATATGTATTTAATCATAATTTTTCAGTTGATTTACCATCTTGTCAAGTCGATGATGATTGTCCTCCGGAATACGCATGCTACGAGCCGACGTCGCGCTGCCGTTCTCGTAAGAGGATCATAAACATTTATAGTCGCTGGTGACGTCTAATTATGATTTTGTGGAGAATAAATCGTCTCAACAACAACAAAATTCATTTTGCTCCACCGACTGGTAACAAAAAAAAAAACAACAATCGAGGACGTAAATTAAAAAATGAGGTTGTGTGGGTACTGGTTCTTGCCGAGCGAGAAAAGCGTTGCAAGGTAACCCATCAACAGTTTGTGGTCCTTGTTCTTCTTGATCGACGCCAAAATAGAAGTGTCGATGGATTTCGTGTCTTTCTTGCGTTCCTCAGTAACCTAAACGGAATCTTTTAGAGCAAGAATATACCACGAGATCTATGGTAGCAAGAGATTGAACAAAATTTATGCCTAACAAAAAAAAAGTTTATCACTCCTTTTTTCATCACATATTTTTCTGAACTATTGAACCGGACACTTGAGAAAGCCGAAAAAAAGAACAAAGTTTTACTTTTTATGATATATAACTACAAACTTCCTGACAAAAAAAATTTAAAAAAATTGAGAACTAAATGAAAAACATGAAAGTAGTCTAACCTTGTATTCCTGCTTTCCGGTGGCAAAAATGTTGTCGCCCTTCTTTCACGATCAAGCTCTTCCTTTTGAAGTAATCGTCATTGATGTGATCTGGGACTTTCACACCGGCGACATCAATCTTCAACGAAGTCTTGATAACGAAAGCCGGCGCGATACGGCGGAGGGGGCATCCGTTCAACTTGTGAGGACCTAAAATACCAACAAGTCCAGATTTGAGATGATTTAAAAGAAAATGAGGCCGAGACTGTATTCTGATAATAAAATTTAGTAGATACGATTTTAAAATACATGACAAAATGGTTAGATAACTGAGAAATTTCAGATTTTATCTAACGCACTTCCCTCACAATAAAACATTTTTCCAATCGTAAGAAATGAAAAACTTTGATTCCTTTTTTTAAAAAAATATGGAGCTTCTATCGATAACATCCTTCCACACGAAAAAAAAAAATAAATTTATCCACTGTTAGAATCCGATACTATGATCGCTTTAAAGTTTGCGTTGTCTGATTTTTTGAAAAATTTTTCTATAACTGCAATTATGCGTTGAAAAAAATTATGCATTCAAATGTAGCAAAAAGGATCATGTGCTTTTCGCGATGTTGAGAAAATTCAAAAGAACTTCTCTTCAACACTTGGCACAAAAAAAATTGCAATCGAAACTTTATATTCAGATTCCCCATCTATGTTATATGAAAAATTGAATGTATAAAAGTAGTTTTAGTGCAAGGAAGGAACAGAGCTGTGGTCCGAGCCAGCCAGGCTGGCCATAGTGTTGCAACGCGGTCGCAAAGGGTCGAAAATTTGCCAGTTTTCGAACTTTTTTCTCTCGAAAACATGTTATTTAAAAAAAAGTTATGTAATCTAAATTAGGAAATGAGAGAGCAAAATTCGCAAGAGCAAAGATTTTGGGCCGAATCGGCCATCAACCTCGGCCCAACGCACAGCTCTGGGAAGGAAGAACCCAAAGAGTGTGAACGGATCAATGTAAAGATAAAAAAGATAGATGAAACAACTTCACGAACCAGTGACAAGGAGAAGGCCGGATGGCAAGTTCTTGAGGAAAACAACGCGTTTTCCCTTATGACGGCCAGCAAGAATGATGAGAACTGTGCCGGGAGCAATAGCCTTCTTTGTGGAGTGCTTCTGCGAGTGTCCGAGCTTGAACTTCTGGCCCGTTCTTTGCAAAGCAAGCGGCTTCTCTGTCTTAAAAACTGAATTTATTTCCGAAAATCCATTCCTTCAAAATTTTAATTATTAATGAACACAACTAGCATGCATTTTTGTTATAAATAATATTACGGAATTTGCAAAAAAAAAGCTTTACCTGCTTAGTGACGGTCTTCAGAGGCGTCTTCTGTCCTCTCTTGAGACGAAGCCGAGCAGTAGAGAACCGCAAGACTCCGGGTGAAAGGTCAAAGTTACGACCGATCGTTGGCTTGGTCTTTCCAACCATATTGAACCCACTGAAAATCAAGCCTTTCTAACTTTCAGAAATCTGAGGAATTTTTAATGAAAAAAAGTATGATAAAATAATAGTGAATTTATTTTTTGAGAAACATCAATTAATTTTTTTCAAAAAAAAATTTTTAGTGCTGCAGGTCCCGACACGAAAACTTAGAAATCACTTCAAACGGGAAAGTATTCAGCGGAAAGTTTATGTTCAATCTCTATAAATCAAGTAAAAGATATTTATGGCTTGAAGAGAGGTAGACAAACGAACAAAAAAACTTTAAAAAAATTTTTTTATTTCAATTATCCGGGTTATATCAGAAGACTATCGATCTTTCTGGGTCGCTGAAAATTGCAGTTAACGTTCTGGAGGTCAAAAAAGAAGTTCAGGGTTCAAAAAATAAAACTTAAAAAAAAAAGAAAAGATTTAAAAAAATGGAGGAAAAGAAAAATTAAATACATTTTTCTCGGTTACGCAGAGCGAAAGTGGTACGGTGGCCGCACTTCAGCTGTGCAATTTATCAATTTTGAACGGCGGCGCTCCGTGGGAACGCTTTTTTTATAATTAAATTCACGATAAAATTGTTGAATAATCATTCAAATTATTTTAATTACTTTTAATTTAAATATGAGGTTCGAATGCCTTCTGAATATATCGTGTAAAAACCATATTATACAAAACTATTTTTATTTATTCATATTAGAAAGACAATAATTAAATTAGAAAAAAATTAAAAAAATAAAGCAGACAATCCTCTTTATTTTTATGTTTTAAAAAAAAATTTTTATTCTAAAGCAGATTTTGGTCATATTTTTGAATTCGGTAATCATTTTCATTTAGAAAAAGGATTAATATTCTGTTTTTTTATTACAAAGTCGCCATTGACAAATTTCACGAAATCTCCACTCTAAAAAGGATGTTTTTCAAATGTGATTGTCGGCTGTCTGTTGACGTGTGAGGCCGCCAGTTGATTCGCTGACCGGCGTCGGGCCAATGTTCTGCGTGTACTTGCGTGGAGTACAGAGCCATTCTGAAGCCATTTTTCAAATGAAGCAATTAGATTCATGGAAACTCACGGGCAACAGCGTTTCGGTAGTCTCTGACGAAGTAAATTACGGCCAGGGGATCTAGAGCAGGATAGAGTGCCAACGTGACTGCGACGAAACTAGTGGCGGCACCGATTTCCAGTTCAAAAAAGGGCGAGATAAACAGAATAGACACTGGAATGTACATGAAAATGACTGGAATTACTGTCTGTAACAATATTCAGGTAATTTTCGTTCGAATCATGCGTAGACCTGCACGACAAGCGCTTTGAACAGTTGTTTCTGCAAGTCCCTAGTCTTTTTTGTGGCGGTGCTGCTTTGAGACTGCATTTTGCGATAAGTCGATATCCCACAGAAGAAGACGGTTCCGAAGGAAATTCCCTGAAAAAGTGCTTTTTTCAAAGTTTGGAAGAACTCACCCAGTTTCGTGGACTATATCGCAGCGAGAGTGGCGCGACATAGCAGCGACATATCTCGCTGCCATCTCGCTCAGCTCTAGCAAACTCCCGGCGCGATATCGGCGCGAGGTCGCGGATTATCGATTGGTCACTATTTACGTGCCATCAAAAATTTTTACTTGAATTGTTTAATTTTTCGTGTGTTATATTCTCTCTGATTTTTTATGTCTATCACTTAATATTTCTAAAATGTTAATTTTTACGACTAATGTAACGCTCATACAGTACCGTCAGAAGAGGAAAAAAATATTTTTTTCGCTCACAACTTCCTCGTATAGAGCTCAATCTTTCTGAAACTTTTTTTCAGCTGTGTTTCTAAGTTTTCACCACGGTGTTACAATCAACAGTCATCATATTTCCAGAGAGTTTCAAAAGGGTGAAATCCCATTAAAGAAAGTTGTGATTTAAAAAGCGTTTTTTTGTATATTTTTGACGGCACTGCACACCTTTCTTGAATTTGAAAGTCCTTTTTTTCGCATCATGTTTTAACCAATAATTTCAGGTTATTAGTACTTCAAAAAAACATCTAACATTTTTCGATCAATAAAAGTCAAGAAAAGATCCGTGGGAGATGGCACCGAAACTTTGCTTTTTGGATACAATCAATAAGATTCTTGGTAAACTATTTTTTTGAAACAGTATATCCATTTTTGCTTGAAGATATGATTTGCACTTTGGCGTCGATGGGTAAGGAAAAAGAAGAAATGAGGCATGATTTCGAGAAAGCACGAACTGCTGTCTTGATACAGTCGCTCCTGTGAGTTATTCTCTTATTCAAGGTTGGACTTTTTCAGTATTTCTCTTTTTTTACCGGTTTTATCATTTAGAAAAAGTTCTTGACGCAGCAAATGAAGGATATGCCGAAAACTATCAAGTCAAAGCTTACAGTAACATTTTTAAGGGAACTTAGGGTCAATCTGATTGTTTAGCTTAATTTTTCTTTTTTCAAAACTTCTTTCATTTTTCATTTCGAGCCTCCCTCCTTTATTTTCTAATTTGAACTTTTTAAAGATCATCTACGAGCTTACAATCGGTTTACTTTTTCTGTTTTTTTATTGAAACTACTCTTTTCCTAGTCACATTTTTTTCCTATGAAAAATAAACGATACACATGTTTTTCCTCATATTGTCCTTTTTTATTCTTACTTGAAGCTTCACTCTTTCGCCTCAATTCAATCTTCTTCAGATTTGTACATACTTTCAGTTTACTTCGAATTCGAAAATGTATCATCAATTATTTGGAAATTTCTTTAATGCTCTCAAGTTTTTCATTTAAATATATTGTTTATATTAAATAAAAAAAGTAAAGAAGGTTGATAAAGACCGATATGTTATCATGTACAACCCAATAAAAAGTATGAAGCATAGAAAGCAAATCAAGAAAAAGCCCAATCGAGCTAAAAAATTTTTTTGAAAGAGCGACATAGCAGCGAGATGTGAGCGACCTTGCGCCGAGAGGCGAGCGATATAGCTCGCGGCTCCCCCGCGATATAGCGTTTCTCTCGCTGCGACCTCGTCCGTAAAACTGGGTGCTTCATCTTACGATAATCTTCATCAGATTGAGAATACCCAGGCACGAAACGACGTTGTAGCTCTTTTTGCCATCCTTATCGTACATCTTTAAATTTATTGTTTTTTTTTCTAGAGTTTCAGCATTACTGACAAAATAGTGAGGACCAACATAGGCGATCTGGTCCATCCGTAAAGCGTAGTGCTCCAGAATTGTTTCTCTGCAGCTCAATTTTCTTTTTGAGTCCTCAATCACATTTGTACTTGACATATTCATTCGAGGCCGGAGTCTCAGGCTCAAGGAAATACGAGGTGAGACCCCAGTCCGTGCCGAAGCCGATGACGATGCACGGCCAGATCATGAAGAACCAGCCTTCGAAGAGAAAAAGCAAATGTGTCCTGCAATGTTTCACATGATAAAAAAAAAACTTCAAAAGTTGACTAAAACGAGGCTACTGTAGTCACGCGCCTAGATGAGCAGAAAAAAGACCGCAACCACCGTAACCCGAAGCAAAACAATTTTGATCTTTTGAATTGGAGATTCAAAGGGAGTAAGCAACCTGCAGACAGCAAAGTAGCGATACACGAAATGGACGGCGAGCAGTACGATCGTCATTCCGTAACATGAGCAATAGAGAGCTGAAGCCATTCATAACTTTTTGAATACATTCAAAACAGACCGCAAAGAGCAGCGCCAACGGTTTTTGGGACGCCGAACGTCTCCAGAGACTGGAAAACCATGAAAGTCGTCCCATGAATGTGAATAGTCTGAAACCAACTTTAAGCACTCCTCTGGTTTTTCATAAGGACAAAAGATTGTTCCTCAAAAGATAGGGAGACAATTTATTTGAATGGCTAAACTGAAATGTAGCCATCCATGGAGTTGTTTGAACTTGGGACAAAACTCCTGACTGAGAGTATCTTTCAATGCAGTTTTTATGGTGATTTTACGTGAGCCCAGAGACGAGAACCTTAATCGGAAATGTTGAACCTCCGAACCTTGACCGGTCAAATATTTTTTCCACAGAGATTTGGCATGTTTTGAGACCAGATTCGACAATGTGAAATTCAGCAGTTTTTGAAAGTTTGTGAAATAGCATACAGGTTGGACGAAGACGTCGATGGCCGAGTAGAAGATGGCGAAGAAGGAGAAGCACATCATGAGGTAACGGTAGTTGCCCAACTCCTTGCGCGACTTCCTCACGATCAAAAAAATCAACGTCGAGTTGATCCAGAGAGAAAGACCGAATCCGATGTACTCGGAGACGTGCGCGATGTGCTGCCATTCCAACGACGACATGATCTCTCACGAACCTCAAGTCACTGATTAAGAAAGTCTCAGACGTTAGAAAGGCTTGAAATTGTCTTTTTTTGAATAATTCTCTCTGAAAGCCTTAAACGTTTATTTTTGAAAAAATTCGAGATTCAATGCCAGTTCAGGGCGATTTAAATTTCAAGGACTTTTCTCGAAAAAATACAGAATTGGAAATTGAAATTTTCTTTTCGTTTGGCTAAGCTCAAACAAAAAACTCCTACAACCAAGGTCACTTGAAAAAGCTTATACTTCACTTCAAAAAGTTTTGAGAGATTTTCTTTTTTTATGGCTCAGGAGCATCTAATATAATGAAAACTTTGGTAGGGGCAGACATTTCAAAACGATGTCCCGAGAATCTTGAAACAGAAATTAGTCAGCTCTCCGTTTGGAGGAGAGAAAGAGGGGCGCCCGGAGGCCGGTGATTGGAAAGTGGATTAATTTCTCGGGAGCTGATAGGCGGTGCTGGATAGAGGAAAGTAATGCCGGGTACAAATAATAGCAGCGGCCAAGAATCTTCGTCTGCGCTAGGATACATATCGCCCATGTTGTGGCTATAAAACACCAACTTTGTAGGCTTGGCCTTTGAGCTTTCAGGCGATAGGTACGGTAGACTTCTTCTTCTATACACTTACAAATCGACACTTTTTCGGGCATACAACTTTTCTTCGATACAGACTGAGACTAGTTGTTTGGGGCGGAAAACATAACAAACTGGATGAATTTCTGGTCGAGAAAGAGGATATAAAGTAAAAAAGAATTCCGAGCAAATTGAAGGTATTCAATGAAGACGAACGTCGAAGGTCCTTTATTTAGGCGTTTTTTTAAAAAGCTCTTTCCAATTGTTTTTTTCTTTTCTTAAACTATATGTCCCAAGATATCACCTAGCATGATGAGAATTGGGCAAAAAGATTAGAGATCCTTTGTAATAGAGAAAAGTTTGTTTTGCTACTTCATAGAAAATTAACTTAATTATCCACGTAATCTGGCAAATTCTTAAACATCATAGAACGAACCAGAAAAAGTGATAAATTCAGACTTTAAAACTTTGTGGAAGTAATCCACACGCAATCGCCTCATTTACAACTATGTTGGTTTTGTTTTATTACTAACCATAAGAGTAGGGGGGTTTGAGTTATGGATTTGAACAAAAATGTCTGCTTTTCGAGCTTTTGTTGTTTCTTGGTATGCATAATAGACATATTGCAAATCTTTTTATGAAAATCTTCTGTTAAAGGAGCTTTTTGTCTTACTCAATGAATCCCTTGTCAAAACTGCGTTCAGGTCTTTCTTTCCATTGCTTTTTTGTACGTGTGATTGAACAAAGTTTAAACATTTTTTGTATTGCCTTCACCTAATGAGGAAAGTTCACTTTTCGATTATTATGACTGTACTGGTTCAACTTGTAGACGAAATGGCGTTCAAGACAAGGCCGGTCGATACCAGACCAGAAGAATGCTTTTTCGGCAGGCATTTTTTGAAGAAATCTGAAAACTCAAAAATTTTCCTAATTTTCGTTTCACTGACTTTTAACGGCTTCCCGATAGTCGCTGATGAAATAAATTGCAACCAGAGGATCTAGGACTGGGTAGAGGGCCAAAGAGATTGAGACGAAATTTGCGTTTGCGCCAATTTCCAACTCGAAAAGCGGCGACAAAAAGAGAAAAAAGATTGGGATGTACATAAAAAAGATGGGCACTATGGTCTGAAACTCATATTTTTCAAATCGCTTTTGCGATCACACGCACCTGTACAATCAGAGTGAGGAAAAGCTGTTTCTGGAGAATTCGTGTCCTCTGAGTGACTATACTGAGTTGTTGCTGCATCTTGCGGTAAGTGGAGATGCCGCAGAAGAAAACTGTTCCGAAAGAAAAAAACTGTAAGTTTTTCCAAACAATGGACTTTCAAATAAGCGAGATCTTACCACCATGAACAAGAAATTTGCCATGCCAAGACAAGAAATGAGGTTGAAATGCTTCTCGCCGGAGCTATCAGTTATCTGGAAAGTAAAAAAAATATGAAGGTTTTCAACTGTGTCGAACAAAGTATAGAGGGCCAATGTAAGCGATTTCATCCATGCGAAGTCCGTAGTTCTCCATAATTGCGTTTCTGGAAAAAAAAACAAACGTTTTCCTAGTTTTCTCTAGGATAGTTATACGCAAGATATCGATTAGCCATCTCAGTTTCCGGAACTAGAAAGTAGGTGGTTAGGAACCAGTCAAGGCCGAATCCCAGAACAACGGCTACCCAGATCGCCTTGTTGAATCCTTCGAAGAGACGAAGGAGGTTAGGCCTCAATCCAAAAATGATCTCCGAAATCCAAATAAATGTTCAATTTACCGACAAATGGCGAAATAGCGATAAACGAAGTGGACTCCAAGTAAGGCTAAGGTCACTTCGAAGAACGCGCAGTACAAAGCTAAAAATTCCGTATTTTTCGAGTTGGAATGAGCCATATGTCAACCTACAACGAGGGCTCCAACCCTTTTGCTAATATCGAAAGTCGACAAGACAGTCAGCACCGTAAACGTTGTTCCGTGCGTTTGAATCAACTGCAAAACGTAGGGAGTGCACTTTTCTTGGTACTCTCCAACTACTTCAAGATACAAACAAAACGAAAAAAAGCGGAACAATTGGAGCACTTCGTAATTGAGACAGCTTTTTTGAAAAACTACGCAAAGAAAGGATTACTAATATAATTCAAGTTCTAGAGCAGCTTTGAAAAGTTCATTTTCTGAAATTTAATTAAAACTCTATAAAATACATACTACTTTCTGATTTTTTTGTTCCAGGAAAATATCATAAACTTGTAGGGTTATACGTTATGCGAAACACTAGTTTAGAAGCTTAAAGAGAAAACAACGCAGCGAACTTCTGTAGGAGGTTGTTCTAGGCGGTAGTTCTCCAAAATATGAAAAATTAATTATCTGTTAGGTGTTATAAGGTATTCTGAGAAATCGCCATTCGAAAATTTATAGGAAATGCTAAAAAAACTGTTTTTTTATATAATTTATTCAGCAAAAAGGTCACTTTCTCGTGTTTATTATAGGCTTAAAAAAAACAATTTTGTTTTAGAAACGGGAAATCCGAGAATTAAAAAAAATCAGTTTTTGTCTTTTTTTTTTTGAACTTTTGACGAGCTATTTCTCATTGCCCTATGTTTAACGGATAATTATTTTCATCTGCTAAAGAAGTTTGGACCAGATCTGCTGTGCTCACTTCACTTTGGGATAAAAAATCTACCGACCGGTTGAGTGATGAGGTCGACAGTGGAGTAGCCGATTCCGCAGAAGGCGAATGACATCATAAGGTAGCGGTAGACGCCGAGTTCCTTCCTCGACTTGGTTTTGATGAGGAAGATGAGCGTCGAGTTGATGACGACGCCGAGACAGAAGCCGACGTACTCGGCTCCGTGGGCCATTTCGGCACTTCTTGGCAGTCGCCGCATTTTCGACTCGCCCAGGTTCCCTATTTTTACTGGCTTGTTTTAAGAGCGTCTCACACGCAACCTATTTTTTCCCTGTCGAGGTTTATTGGTTTCTTATAATCAGCCGAGTTTTACGAGGAGCAATAGGAAAAGTTCTCTTTATTAGCTGCAAGAAAAAAGAATAATGTATTTCTGGAATTTCTGAGAATCGCTTCTGATCGCGAAACAGAACCATTTGTTGCAAAATCTGCATTTTTTTTTCAGTTTCTAGTTTTCTTCGCGAAGATAACGGCTGAAGTTCGCAGAAATCTCAGTTGGTTACGAATAACAGGAAAGTTCAATGAGCCTGTAAAAACTAAGAAAGATCTATCGATAAATACCTCTATGTTCAAAATTTTTTTAAACTCGACCAACGTTGAAGGTACTAGCTAGAAATAGTTTCTAGCCAGAAAGAAATTTGAAATGAAGAAATTTTTTTATTTCTCACTGTTGAAAGAATCTTTGAGCATAGGAGAGCAAATAAAATGATCATTTCTAATAAAAAGAAAACCTTCTAGAGTTTTCTCGCAGTGTATAAAGTTTTTAATGCTTGAAAAATGTGCTCCTTGACTGGCCTCTTGCAAAGAAAACTTCTAAAAACAGAAAAAAGTTATCAAAGTCGAAAAGACCATGGGAATTTATACCTCAATAAGAGTCATTCGGGATTCATACGTGGGCCTCTTCAGTTCAAAAAGTTAGAAGTTGAATAACTAACATTTGATACGCTTGTTGGAATCTTTGAGAAGAAATTGAACCACTCTGAAAAAACGCTTTTTGTAGAAATTTACTGAACAATTTATCAGCGTGTTTCTTGCTAGAAGCCTGAAAGGTTCAGAAAGCGTATGTAATAAATTTGTACATTATCTAAAAGATAAGCAGAGTCTATTTTGATTTCGTGTTATTCAAAACTTTCGCACTTTCAAAACCTTCAGTAAGGATTTTTGAGTAGACAAAAATCTCTCACTTTTCACACTTTCGCGGTGGTCACGGATGAAATAGATGACGTAGAGAGGGTCTATGACTGGGTACAAGGCCAGAAAAATGGGAACAAAGTTTGCATAGGCACCGACTTCCATCTCAAATAATGGAGCCGCGAAAACGAATCCACACGGAATGTACATCAGAACAACAGGTGTAACTGTCTTTGAAATTTTCTTCTTTCTGTGGAAAAAAACGTTTGGGCTGTCACCTGTAACACGAGAACTTTGAAGAGCTGAGCCTGAAGGTTACGCATTTTTTTCGTCTTATTATCTTGCTCTTTCCGCATATTCAGATAGGTTTTGACGCCGCAGTAGAAAACGATACTTGAAGACACAGACTAAAGTAATAATTAGAAACGAAAAAACAATTTAGTTTGAACTCACCATCAAAAAGGTGTAATTGAGCATTCCCAAACATGCCGAAAGCTTGTAACGACGATAACCGTCTTCGTCATAAGTCTCAAAAATTCCAGTTCAACAGAATTTAGAAGATTAAGAAAGATTATAACTTACAAAATAGAAGCTACCGACGTAATAAATCTCTTCAATTCGCAAATCGTAGTTCTTAAGAAACTCCTCACTGAAAATCGCTACAGGCAGTGAAAATTGTGTACTTTCTTATCACTGACGCCAAAAATTCATCTTTGTCTGGACTTTCATTAGCTACAAAATAGGTTGTTAAACCCCAGGCGAGACCAAGAACCATTACGACAAAAGCCCAACAAGGGAAAGTCCGGAAACCTTTGAAATATCGTAAGCGGAGCGGCCTCAAAAATAGTTTTTTTTTTGCTGAGGAACGCGGGATAAAGGTACCAACAAACAGCGAAATATCGATAAACGAAATGAACGGCCAGTAGAGTCAACGCCATATTGAAACAGGCTGAGTAGAGAGCCAAATAATACATTTTTTTTTTGAGAAATAAAACAAAGCTCACATACATATAATCACTGCGGCGCTGTTTTTGTTGAAACCGAAGGTCGACAGGATCATAATGGCGCTGAACGTTGAGGCATACACGTGAATCAACTGCAGAAAAACCGATTTTTTCAGAAAAAAAAACAAAAAAAAACATTTCCCCCTTATTTCAATAAAATGGAAGTTTAAAAAAAATCTTTTTTTGCGTGGACTTTTCCTTCTTGGTTTACGATTCTAATCACAAGCGAATCGTGAAAGGAATCGCGATATCCCAGAGGTATATCGAAGGCTCTGAAGTCTAACGATGGTATCACGAGTTCACCTCTGACAAATATGAACAAAATGTTATAGACTTGCGGAAAACCCTCAAGGGCCTCGTATATAAGTCAGATAGAGCTAAAATATATTCTGAAGGTCTCACAATGGATATATTACAGCCTGAGATTCACAGGATACACGCGATCCTTTTTAGAGGTTTACTCGCAACACATTATGGTACCCTCGCGATTTGCTTGTGATTCATCTAGAGAAGTTTTTTTTAATAAAAGAATGCAGTTCGAGTACCGTCAAGCTTGACCAAGACTTTCCGCATTTTTTGAAAGCTCGATAATGGAAAAAAGATTTATATTTTTCAATCGAAAGATCTTTGTGTGAGTTTAAAATTTTCGAACCACTGCATCACTGTTTTTCTGACTAGATAAAGTTCTAGCGAACCGGTTGAACAAGGACGTCAATGGTAGAGTAGAAGATGCCGAAGAGGGCGAAGCTCATCATCAGATACTTGTAGGAGCCCATTTCTTTCCGCGACTTCGTCTTGATCAGATAGATCAACAAGCCGTTGATAACGACGGAAAGAGCGAAAGACAAATACTCGGCGACGTGAGCGACGAGCATAATCGAATGCACAACTCCCACATTTGTTGGCATTTCTAAAAACAATTTTTCTTCATTACCAGTATTTTAACTCAGTCAATTCACACGCCTATTTTTCACTAAAAAAACAAAGAGCCATGTTCCAAAAATTTGAGAACAAGCTTGAAAAAGAATGCCACGGAAGAGTTATAAATAATTCTGTGAGAACCTACCAAAAGTTCAAATAATGAAGAATTTGTGAAAACATGCCTGGGAGCATTTTCATTTTCCTTGAAGAGACTTTGATTTTTCGAAATGCTAGGCATGACCTTCGTGTGAAATGATTTCTATGAAGGACAGGAAATTAAATTTCATAAATTTTTCATTTAATAACAAGAGGGCATATGTTCAACCCCATTTCGAAGAGTCTTAAAGGACTTTTTTGGGGTTCAGATTCTACGAGCAAAAAAAACAAGTGCTCGAAAATTTTAAATTTCTAACTACCTCAAACGTCTTAAATAAAAAATAAGTTTCAGATATTTGACTCTGTCAAAATCACAACTGCTATAACAAAAGTTGGGAAAATTTTATTGAAATTTTGTTAGTTTCAGGAGATTTCATTTGAGAAATTGTTAAAAGCACATAAATAAGTCAGATCACACATGAAGCTGTACATGAGGGACGCAGATTTGCAACAGCAATCCACGCAAATTGGGAGAAAAAATATGAAAAGTTCTACAGCACATGCTATGGGTCTACTGGTCGCTAAAACGCAACAAAAAAAAAGAAAAGAAAATGAACTATTAAATCTGAGTATGCGATAGATATTATGTCATTTGAGAAGATCAAGTGAAATCGAATGAGAAATGTCAAAATTGGCATAGAACAAGAATATTAGGAACGAAAAGCACACCGAAAAATCTTAGAGATTATCACTATTGAAATATTTGACAAAGAAGAGAAGCAAAACGATTGTTTCATAAATTAAATCCACTGAACAACACGTAGAATACCTCGACTGGAGCTGAGCCGACAAATATTTTCTCTAGTGCTTTCTAGTTTGAAGAAAATAATCCATAACTCTGAGTTGCTAGGAGTTAAACGGAAACTATTCTATAGAATGAGAGCTTATTAAAAATTGTTGAGTTGAGCCAATAATTACATTTAAAAGGGGGGAACTAGAATGTGGTGACTAGACTTGTGGACGATCGGTCGTTAGACGTCTGGGGGGTTCAGAAGAATCAGATGACGTCGAGTCTTCCTCGGCGACTGCTGTCAACTTTCCACTAATGGAATTGCCGAAATTCGGCACGACAACTTCCGAAGGCGCCCCAGAATCTGTGGAGGGAGACCTCGCCTTCATTTCCGAAGAGTTTTGACGTTCCTCTTCCATTCTGAAGATATGAGAATAGGGAAAATCAGAAAGATAAGTCGCGAACTTTTCATAAGTACTCGGATTGCGACTGGACCTTCGGGACAGTCGATTCGCTACTGACATCGCTGAAAACACAAGAATAATCGAAAATCTATGAAACGAGAGTTTCATTTCAAAATAACTCAAAGCTCAGAATCTCCATATGTTTGAAATCATGTAATTACCAGAAACAACAAACTTAAGTTAATAAACATACAAATCCGTCGACAGAATTCGCCCAATGTTTCTTCTCGTTCAGGTTCGCGAGCCCAAGACTACAAACTTCCAAATGAACCTTTCAAGGCTGAATCAACTGACTTGAACTTCGCCCCGGCCGAAAATCAAAAAGAAGACGATTCCAAACAAATCTACAGACATTGCCAGCAAGAAGCACCACTTCCAGCCGTCCGGATTCTGTAAAAAAGCATTCTATTGTGATTTTCTAGAAGGAAAGATTACATTGAGAGTAAGGCTTTGCGTGACGAATCCACTCATTCCAGCCAAAGCTCCAAATCCATTGGAGAAGCCCATTAGAATAGGTGCGTAGCGTGGCGCGATATCGAAGTGGTTTACGTTGAATCCTGAAAAGTTTCGAAGATTGAAAAAACCATAAAATGGCGTGAGAAAGGAAAAGATATTACAGATACTTAGTGGTGAAAAATAATTTTTTCTGTAATTGTGTTGCTCTTTTTCTGGCAAATTTTCTCAATTTTTGAATATTTTTAATTTATTCTCAAACAATTAAATTAACAAATTTTTTTAATCAGAGTTTTTTTGAAATATAAATCTTTCTGAAAGAATTCGAATTATTTTTTTCAAGACATTTTTAACTTGAAAGATATTGCGGTAAGAGTTTGCCTCGAAGTTTTTTCTGGTCGTATTTAAAAACAAGAAAGTCTTTGAGAAGATCCTGATAAACCTGATCAAAAAGTACTCGGATAGATCTTCTGAGGCTCTCCTCTTGTTTCTCAGGATCCGTAATAAAGTTTACCTACTCCCTAATTCTATAAGCTTCGAATTCAATCATTAATCGATTGCCTTGAGCATTTCCAAAAAATAACCTGCAATGCTGAGGCCGGAAAGAGCGCAGCCCGTGATGAGACAGACGATGGCCCAAATCGGCTCGCGGACAAAGGCCAACATGCACAAGAAGACGGCCTCGCCAGAGAACCCGACGGTGTTGAACAGTTTGCGGACGTTGCGCGTCTCCATCTTTCCAGAACTGCGCAAGTAGTCAGCCGCCTGACCGGAGGACAGGACCGTGATTGTCATCAACAACTGCGGCAGCATCGAGATCAGACCGCTCTACAAATTGTCAAAAATTAGAGCATTCGAAGAAGTTTCGCATTAGAGCACGAAATATTTCTCGTTTTGGGCAGAATTCAAGTAGAAAATTGTTCAAGAAGAACTTCTTGCTAGGTTTTAAAAGATCATAAATTATTATTGAAATCCTCACATTAGTGATGTCGATGTGCAGGACATCCTTCATGTAGGTGAGTTGATTGCCGAGAAGCAGGAAGAAGGTCCAAGAACGGCAGAAGTTGCAGATGACGATGGCCCAGACGGCCGGCGAGAGCAGAATACTTTTCCAGGGGACCGTCGTCAACTGGAATCTTGTCTTTCGATGATTCTATCAGAAGAGGGAACTCACGCTCATGTCCTGTACGGCCACCGCTCCAACTTTCTCGCTGATGTAGGTCCGCTCTTCGTTGGAAATGTACCGGTGGCAGAGGGGCGATTTCGATGAAATGAACCACCAAACGGCCGACCAAACCACGCCGACAACCCCTGAAAGATTCTTAGATCTAATTTTTGATTCAAAAAAACTTTTTATTAGTTCATACTCGTTCAACTAATTTTTTCCAAATCAGAAAAAAATTAGAGAAATTAGAAAAAAAATTAGAAGAAAAAAATTAAAAAGAGAAAATGGTATAAAAAAGGCGATTCGCGTTTATCTTCTAGCTTTATGCTAAAAGCCGCGTCGCGTACGCAACGCGTCACCCATGCCAATCTACCCATCACGCCTTTCAACTCGGGGGATCGACTATATTCCTTACTCGAAGAAACTTTCTATTTGTCAGAAACCCACCGAAAACGAAGAAAGGAGCACTCCAATGGAAATGCGAGACGAGATAAGCCGATGCCGGAAGTCCGACCATAACCCCGACGTAGGAGCCAGTGAAAGTGGTTGTGGCCAACTTTGATCTGAGAAAAGCAGTTGATATAATCTTTTTGAGCAAAGAGTAACCGTTCAAGTGGAGGCGCCCAATGTCTCCAGACGCCGTGCATCGCCGGATATGTGACTCCCTGAAACACAACAATTTTCTCATTTTAGTAATGTTTCGAAAAAAATGTTGATAAACATTTTCAAAAAGCAGAGTTAAAATGCAGAAATATTTAAAAAAAAATACAAAAATTTTCAGAAATCTGAACTTCTCTGTTATACTTTGAGAGGCAAAAAGTTTTTTTTTAATCGTGAGAGAAAATGAAACGAACCAAAGCGAGTCCCTGGACGACTTGCAGAGACATGACGGCGATGTCCGTCACTGGATGATACTGCAGCAGAAAAGCGATCAGAATATTCAGCAGACTCGCCACGAAGACGCCGATACACAACAGTCTGAAACAGCTATCACACATAACGACACTATTTTTGCTATGGAAAAATATGATTTGAAATTTTGATTTCCAATCTCTGCACTGTTTTGTAAAACCTTTGGTCGAACTTTCTAACTCTTTTTCAATTTTTTTCTTGCTTTTGTCAAAAATTTTTTAATGAATCGACATAGATACTGACTTATTTGGAGCGAACTTGGCGGCGAGTAGGCCGGCGGGAATTTGCGAGGCCGCGTATCCGTAGAAAAAGGAACTTTCCATCATTCCGAGTTCTGTGGGCGTCCAGAAGAATTCTTGTTCCTGAATTCATGCAATTTCCTTTCATTTCTTTTCCTCAAAGGGCTCACATGTATTTGTCCATAAGAGTCTGTGAAATTGTTGATCATGCGATTTTTAGCGACGCCGAAATTCGAGCGAATTCCAAAGGCGATCGCGAATCCGATGTGTGCCATCCACGCGATCTGCCATCGCACTTTGGCCAAGAAGAATCTGTCCTGCAAAAAAATAAATAAATAATTCAATTCCGTAGTTAAGGATCTCGTTGCTCTTTTCAAAAAGGCAAAAGTCTGGAATATCTTTCAAAGAAACTGAAAAAAAGTTCTCGGAACCTTCAGGACATTTTTGTATGCTTCTTCAACCCCGGCAAAGATTTTCTGATAAGGAGCACCAAAACTCACTAATATCCGCGACATAGTTCAAGCATTTTCTAGTTGAAAGATACAACTTTATCAATGAAAAATAGAAAAACGTATACAGACACGTTGGTTTTTTTTCTCATTAATAGATACCTTTTTAGCGATTTTTTTAAATTCATTAAGCCAGAAATATATGGGGAGATCTTGATAGGGAAAAAAATAGGGAAAGTAACAAAAACGCATAGAGTGTGAGAAATATTGAAAGACCGTAGGTGAAAATTATCTAAATGAGAAACAAAAAATTTCTTAATCATTTTTAAATTTCAAGCTTTCCTTGCTTAGCTAAAATCGGTCAAAATAGTGGCTTTTGAGCTTAATCCACTGATTTTCTTCAAATTCTTCTTACAATTTACAGAAAAAGTGAGGTTTTTCCTCATTAACGTATTGTTTTTAGGTGTAAAAAAATTATATTGTTTTCCAATTTACGGTAGAACAAAAAGCAATAACTTTGACATTGAGATTTCGCCATCCTCGTTCAAGAAAATTACAATAGAGGACAGAAAAATCCAAAGAGAAAAGAACCCGTTTCAATTCCGCCTGATCAACATTGAAGATAAATGAAGCCAAAGTTCAAAAAGGCGACGAAGAGAAAAAATCGCGAAGTGTAAAGAAAATAGTCCAAATTTAACATAAAAACATGATCAAGATGAAAATAATCAGGGGACAAGAATCTTTTCACTTTTTTTTATTTTTCCTATTTTCTAGTGTTTCACCTATTTTCTAGTGTTTCATCATAGTTGAAAATAATTCTATTTGGCGTACTTTTTTCTTTAAAAATAAATCTCACATATTTATAAGCTCAAAATACGCCAAAACCTCTTGATTCGTTACTTTCAATTGTGATCTACATGCAAAGAAAGAAAACACTCAAAAAAATGGTAGGCGAAAAAAAAAGAAAATCAAAATAAATCGACACGAACCATGTGAAGAACGAGGAGGGTCTAAATTTTTGTGAGACTTTTTCCATACTTTTCAACTAATATATCAAAAAATTTCAACTAATATATCAATAAATTTGGATAGGAGGGCATTAACTTCGTTCGAAATTTTAAAAAAAGAAGTGGCAAATAAATATCCTCTTTCATTTGAAGTAGAAAATGTTACAATTACTTCTCGAATTGAGAATTTTCGAGAACCGACCGATTCTCTGAGGGAATGGAGCTGCTCCTTGTGCTCCCATGTTTTTCGGGAGAAAGTGCGTCGAATGGAGTCCGAAATGGCGGATCCTGTCTTTCTCAACGTCCTTCCGACCATCTGCGATTCTTTTATCTTCTTTTTGTCCCTCGCTCTAACAATCAATGATCGAGTCGTTGTTTTCTGAAACGAATTATAATGAGGTGACGAGGCAAATTTATTAGTTTTCTCACGCAGATTTTTTTGAAACGAGCGCTTCAGCATGAAGATAGAAAAAGGTGAGAAAAATTTGAAAAGAGAAAGGATTAATGGGCAAATACAGGTGTTTAAAAATAATTAGTTTTTTAAAAGACTAGCTACTTTATGAATAAGGGAGCATTTGTAAGGACAAGTTTATTTTTAAACAAAAAAAGAACAGATCAGAAGTTCTTTCTTACGATTTTAAAGCAGAAATGAACTTGATAGAGATTTTTTTTCGTTCTGATCAACCTTAAAATTTCATAATACCGTAGTAAGTCAGGTAGAATACACACAATGGAATAGTTTTTTTTAGAACAATACGAAGCCGTGACAAAAGACTGAAATGCGGCCCGAAGGGGCACTTTTTGTGTAAAATCGTACAACGACGTGACCACCACATTATTAAGTTTATAGTTGATAATAAGCCAAAAAAAATAATAATGATGCAAAAATGTTTTCGATTGCTTCTTCGCTATACGAAAATGTAGAAATCGGACAGAAACACGTTTTTATGGTTGTATGTTTTTGGGTTTGATGTGAAGAAAGCTTCTCAGGAGCTGAAAAAAGTCAACTGATTGTACTTCTACCCAAAAGAGCTTCTATAACCTATATATAACTTTAAAAAAAAAAATTTTAACTGGAAACGGAAGAAAAATATTATAACAATAATAATTTCTGAAAACGGTTCTGGTCAGCTTTTTCAAGTTCACTAAATCATTATCAATACGAAACAAAGAGTCAGCGGAAAAAGAAGGAAATAAAGAAAAAAGTAAGAAGAGAGAATGATTTTTGTAGCGATGTCTAGAACTTGTTATAGTCGAAACCCGAAATGGCGTTCAAGAGCGCGTTGAAAGGGGCGGAGCCAGAGGACTCGAACGTTTTGAATTGACGGCTTCTGGCTCGACGAACTGCGACGAAGTTTCCCGATCACGTCATCGTTCGACGAGAAAACCCAAAGATAAGACGTTCAGAACCACAAAAACTATCATCATGGTCTAAACTAACGGAAGAGGCGGGACTTGGCAAGGAAAGTCCTCTAACATAAAACTTCCGGATTCCCTTAAAATTGAAGGGCAAAGTCTTTGATGTAGTGAATGGAGATTTCAGAAAATAGCAAACTTCACACCTTCTTAATTCAGAGAACGTTTCCCGAAGACAGTTTTTCTGGCAAATCTTCAAAAAAAGTTCTCAGGCTATTTTCTCAAAAAACGTGATTTACAAATATTCAGACGCTGATGATATCAACACAAAGAGCACTTGTAAAAAGTGGATGACTAAAGAAAATTTAGAAAAAGTTTTTGACGGAGTTTCCTACTTTTTACAAATGTCTTACTGAAAAATAATCGCTTCCATCAATAAATTGCATACCAAAAAATGAAAATTGCATCGATCTGAACAAAAAATACTTGTCTTGATAATGGATCACGACGTAAGAAGTGGAAGGAAAAGAAGGAGAACCTGGACGGGCGAACTTTTGTCGATGAAATAGGTGATATCGACTGAGCGGTCGTCTTTGAGTCACATCAAGTCAATTTGAGAGACTTTTGCAGAATTTATGAGAGTATTTAGCGAATGAAAAGGGAAATCTGTAGCTTGTTACGGTCTGACTAATGAGTCACAAAAAATCCCTCGTTATCTGTTTGCGGCTGAATGATTCTGAAGCTATTTTAAAAAAAAATTGTCGCTCAAAACTAAAAAAATAAAAAAATTATAGATAATGAAAATCTATTGAATGCTCGATGATAAACTGGGTTGGACTTGAAATTAAAACAGAATTACTACGTTTGTTAGTGACTTCAGTGCGAAAGCTTGCTTTCAAGAAAAAACGTGTGGAATTTGAATGCGACAAATGACACGTCATCTGAATAAGGAAAAATGTCGAATGACAGAGCCAGTTTCTTAACAATCGAGAAAATTTCCCCATTCTGAGACTCCTAGCTGACTGATACCAGCGTACCAAACTGGATAAATTCATAAATACTGAAGGAAAATAATAAACGGCGAAGGATCTTGTCTGGATAATTGGCAACGTTTTGAACCGCTCAACCCAATTGAGAGCCTATTCCTTCCCTATTAGGTTATCAAATTTCACCTCATTACGTCGTCATTAATTTGGCCAATGAAAATGGAATATGGGATTTCCGAAAAACAAATCCTCTCATAAAACACGCATTCATATTTATTCCAATCTACTTGTAATTTTAACGGTCCAATATTTTCAAAATACACCAGGTGAATCTGAAAATGTACTGTTTTCATGAGCAGATTAGACCTCTCCTCAAAAATTTATGATTAGCAGTTCCACTCAAATTGTCTCGAAATTTCAAAGCTCTTCAAATGAAAATTTTGATATCCTGTCCAAAAAAAGGACCGAAAAGTGATATCATTCTTTTTTCCTTTTGGCAAGGCGACAAATTTTAAAATACCAGAGAATTATATCGTAAATAGCGAATTTGGGTTTAAAATTTCTAAATTTATATTTTTTCAAGAGACCATCGGAGAAAATTTTTGAACCTCGAAGTGTCGGTGGAAAATATCATAGAATATCGTAAAGAAGTTCAGTTTGAAGTTTTTTCTTTCTCGAGAGAGGCTTGAAATATGAAATCGAGCCACAAAAACTATGTTTATTCTAGATCTTCTAATTGAGCAAAAAATCTATTCAGGCACCCCTAGCTGAAAATAAAGAAAAATCCTGAGCTAAAGCGGCCTATGAAGACTAAACTACATTTATTTCGAATCAAATTGGGTGGAAATATCAAGAACCAAAATAGATTATAAAAATTACCGATTTCGTTTCTTCATGGTGTATAAACTATTTTTAACAGTGGCCAAAAGTTCTATTTAAAAAAAAAAGCAGAAAACCACGTGTTCAGTCTAGCCCTCAAGATGTAAAAGAACATGTCGTGTGACGGAAGTGATGTTCGAATTCCTTTTTGGGATAGTATTTTATTAAAACAGTTTAGGTATCGCAATGGAGTGAATAGTTACACTTTCTCTTTCGCCATTTTGATATATTACAAAGTGTCATATGGTATCAACCTCTACCACAATGCGTTTTTAACAATAACCCTACGTTTTTGTTGGTCAAGACGTGTATCTTTGCTTTTGAAACGAATTTACAGATTTTACCCATAAAATCTGAGAGAAAAAAGAGGAACTGAAAAAACAAAGCTAAGAATAGATAAAGAGAACACAAAAAAAAAACTTGTTATGGTGTGTTCGGAAAGGATCCGCGAATGAGAGTAAGTGTAACGCAGAAAACCTTTAAAGATACGAGGAGACGAGAGAATGAATAGATGAAATTATGGGCCAACAATATTAGAAAAAAAAGATTGTACAAAAAATTTAGGACATAGAAATTTATATTTTATATGAGGAGGTTCCAGATTTAAAAAAAATATTAGTCCTTATGAATGCATGAAGAAAAACAAAACGAAGCTCGAATTGTTCAACTCTCTTTTTATTTATTCAGTCAAACTCAATCAACTGAACTAAATAACTTTAAAAAACAAAGGAAATAGATTAAAAAGATAAAAAGAACTTTTTGAACGCCGCGGCGCCCGGTACCGTAAAAAATTTTCCATTCGAGCGCACATCTTCAAGAAATATAATTCTCGTATAATTTTTTTAGGTCTCTAGAGCTCTTATCTTTTTAAATTCTCTTCTAGAATATTATTAAAAATTCTCACTGTTTGTTTGTCTACGTAGAGAGAATTTTTATTTCCAATAAGGCAGATATTAAATTCAAAATAAAAAGAAGAAAAGACGGGGGACGCCCTTGTTTCCTAAACGAGATATAGGCACGTGTTGGTTGTGTAAGGTGACAAGCAGGTTGAATCAAGATGAACGCCACTGACGAAAAGCGCAACCAAACAAAAAAGGATGAATCTGCGGGAAACCATCTTATTAGACGGTCCATTGAACGCAATGATCCGCGTCTTGCGTAAATATAGATATTTTTGATAAATAATTGATAAAGTTATGATTGAACTGAAACTAAAAGGGTGATGAACGTTTTCTTTTCAGCTAGCTAAATCTGAAAAATCAATTAAACCTTCAAAAATCGTCGGATTTTCACAAAATATTCAAAAAAAGAACATGCAAGCATGATGAGTCTTTAGGCACAGCATCCAGAGTTTTCAAAGAGCTGGAAAAGTTCGAAGTAAGTGAAAAGGTGAGTATTGATCCAATGATGCAAGTCAAATCGGATTGAAAGTGGTGAGAGGTGGGTCAAAAGCGTCGCCGAATGACCTGCCGCCGTCTATCTGCCGCCCCAATCGTTTCGTTCTGCGTCGTTTTGCCACGCCAGTTTTTCAGGAACCGCTTCAAGAAGCATTGTCTTCGAAAGAGCTGATGATTGAATCAGATACCGATCAAAGGCTAAACTTTACGGAAGCACATTTCATGGGCAGTTATTCAATTTCCACTTTCCAAGTCTCACTCAGGGTTTTTCGGAACGGAATCCAGATCCCAGAATAAGGTGTCAAAGATTATTTTCCACCAGAAATTTCATTTTCAAAAGCAGTCATTCTAATGAAATGACATCAATGTGTTACCATAATCATACTATTTTAAGTAAATAACAAAGGTAAGAACTAGTTCATAAAATCAGAAACAGAAAAACAAATGATTTGAATTTAAAAAAAACAGATGAATCAAGTTGTATGGGACGTCAGTTTTTGATGGAGAATCGAAAAGCTGGAAGACGATTTGAGAAGAGGCGGACCACGACGACGTAACGTTCGGTCTCGGCAGAAAGTAGAATAGTAACAAAGGGGAAGTTGGACGCCGTCAACAAATATTCATTCAGCCCAAATTTTCACTGTATTCTGTCAATATGTGACGTCCTTCGTGATCGTTGGAGCTTGGAAATAATCGACAGACAAGCTTTATAGCTAGGCGAGACAATGTTAGATACTTTGAAAATGGAAAAAATCAGAATTAAATAGCTCGAATAAGTGTCAGCTTCGTTTTAATGCGAAACTTCATCGATAGAGCGCAACAGGAACGTTCGCTTCGTCTTTTTTACTACTTGGATCACGGTAACAAAAACCGGACACGCTCCGGACGTTTCTGAGCGGTTCTAGGGAACCATTAAGCGTTCTGACTTTACTAAAGGAGTTCCTGGAAATGCCCCGACACCCCGATTCACGTCACCAAGGTCCGAGTAGCTCTATTTTCTGCAGACCGCATAGATCAGCGAACGATCAGTCTGGCCTACGTTTTGCAAGGTGAAAGAAGAAAAAGAAGATCACGATAGACTGATTGCAGAATATCCACACCAGCGCGATTCACATGAACTAGTTCGCGCTGACGCGATTTATGGACCCGCCTCGGCTTTTCTTTTGAATTTGCCGCCACGAACTCCCAGGTGGAATGGATGGCCGTAAATAATTGCTAAGGTACTCAAAGCTGTCATTGACACGATGACAGTCAATCATTCGGTTCGATGTAATATAATTGGAAAAAAAGTTATCTCTATATGCTGCCTTTTAAAAAAAAATGAAAAATATTTTTCTTTCAAAATTAATAAAACTTTTCTGGCACGAAGCACAGTGCTAAAAAAAAATTGAAAGCTAAGGTAGCCGAAATTTTTTTATAAAAATCAAGCTCCGAGAAGTGAATCGCTGTAAAATGATCCTATTTCCAATTTTTCTGAAGGAAGCTTTGTTTCGAAATAAGTTTAATCCAATTTTTGAAGCTTTTTCCAAGGTCCAATTTCCAAATTCAGATTTTCAAATACCAAAAAAATTTCCAGGTTCCACTATCAAAAAATCGTCAGGATAATGTTTGAAAATAAATTTGCTTCCTCTTTTAGGGAAATTTTTCAGTTGGTACAATTTTTTGCTGTGCCGCCCTGACAACGAAATCGTGTCTCTTTGAATTCATCACGTCATTTTGTCGTCCATGACCATGATTTCTAGATTTTCTCGCATAAATTCACTTTTTCAGTTTCATTTCGCAGCACTCGTCATCTAGTATCTGATGAGAAGGGCGCATGAATAAAAATATAAAAGAGTAAATAATCAGAGGAAAAACGTGAGAAATTTTCAGTTTTTTCTGCCTTATATATTTTTTGCGTTAAAAAATTCCAACAAGGAAAAAGTGTTCAAAACTTTATGAGAGCTCAAGAATAATTCGAATCGACGCAATAATTACAAAGAAGAATTCATCGGCAAGCTCAAACAAAACTGTAGAAAAATGAAAAAACCTTTGGAACAAGGTACCAAACAAAACTTAAAGCTTTCTGATGGAACCGCTTTAAAATCGACCTGCTTCTGTCCTTTAGTTAAACTACAATATGGACATGGGGGAAAATAAAATTAACAACCGATTTAACTCGATGTATTGCATTTGTTCATAATTAAGAACCTATTATAGGCCAAGGTGACGATTTGACGTCGTTGAAAGGCAGCAGCAGCAGTTTGAACTGAAATTCATAAATTTTTTTTCTTCGTAAGTCCGATTTGGCTAGCTTGTGAAGGAAAAGGTAGTTGAAATTGAGCTTAATCAACTTGATTGAATGAGCTTCAAAAACTTTTTTGTTCTCTCTTAGAAGAGGTGGAGGACTTTGAAGACAAATAACAGCCAAGCTTTGTTCTTAGGCACGCGGTAGGAATGTGCCATAAAGTCACGTGGCCTTTGATACAGTAAGACAAAATTAATTAATTTTCGTAACGGATACCTCACCTTTTTTTACACAGGTTATTTTAGCTCAGCTCAAAAAAGCGCTTTCAGATGTTGGGGCGATTTTGCCAAACAAATAGCCATCATGCTGACTTCTTGGAACAGTCATTTCTATCTTGTGGGATTTCATGGCAAAGGCAGCAAGGGCGGACAATAGGATGACATCCTCCACTTTGGCTCCTAGTTTTTCGCCTCTTAATCCAATCCGAAACCTTGTCGAAGACGCACATTCAATATTTTCACGAGATGGATCCAATCCGCACCTAGTCGCAGTCCATCTGTTCGTCGTCGTCGTCGTCGCGTCGTTCGCGGTAATTCGCAAAGGGATTCGAAGAGGTCGAGGAGCAGGCCGAGTGTTGTCGCGGCTGCTGGAGGAAGAACGGCGGCTGCACGTCGACCACCAGTTCCGGCATGCCTCCTGGAACTGCAAAGACCTCGTGTTATCGTTCCATAAAAATTAATATTTATCCATTTTTTTTTTCATCCGATTGGAACTGTTACTCGTACATGAAAGAGCTAGGCAGAGCTTTTTGAGAGTTTCCGCCTCTTTATCAACTTATTTAGCTAGCTTGTTCAATATTATCCGTTGAAATGTGGAAGCTGAAATTGAAGCAGAAGACACTGAATGACCTATCCCGAGAAAAATTAATTAGCTCATTAAAATTTTTTGCGTATATAATCGTATTGCAAAACCTTCATCTTCCTCCAGAACCAGCTCCGGCGCATAATCTTCGCTCCGAGCTACTGAAGAATACGATTCCGAAGATCCCAATGAACCTAGAAAATTTTAATGAATTTAGTCGAGATTGATTTGTTACTTCTAAAAGCTTCCTCGTCGTTGACAAATCTCAGAGGCGTATGCCGCGCCGACGGCGGGAGAGAAACAGAAAGAGTTTGTCTGAATGAGATAAATATAGAAAGCCTCAATCAGCAGCTAACCAACCCTTTATTATAGTTTGTCAGCGAGTTGCTTCGTTTCCTTTTCGTTTGAAAGTTCGAGTAGACCCGACTTTGCCGCCTCGATCCACTGGCAGATTGTCGGAGAGAGAATGGCTGAGGGCGGTTCACCTGAGAAAAATATTATTGATAAATTAAAGCCGTTGGTGCGGATTTAATGAGAAGGTTTCTATGTAGCGCCTGAGGTTGCGTTGGTGCCCATGAATCAAATCTTATTATGGTTATTAGCCTTTTTTTCATTGGCATTCCGCTCTTTTCCGTCACGATGGCGACTTGAAAATAGATATTTGCCCCTTTCTACATTTCTTAACGCCCAAAACAAACTTTTGGCGATGTATGGGCATGAAACGTTTATCAATTTTCAACGATCACCAATGCAATTTCAAGTGTCAAAAGAAAATGCAACCAAATTACGTGATATTTGGATGGACGGCAACAAAATTATTGGCTACAATTTGTTCAAAACTTCTTTCACAGAAAAACCTATGAGCCAAACAGAAAAATTCAGAGGTTATCCATTTTTGATTATCGTCTCAGCTTGTGTTTTACTGAATAAGAGACAAAGCAACTTGAAAAAAAAAATCATAAATTCGATATCAAACACTGCAAAGTCGATCTTTATCGAGATACTTACAATTGTATCGAGCGAGGAGCTGGCACAGAGGGGCGGCGGCGGGCGAGATTCGTGATCTGAATGCTCGGGGCCGACGACTTCACTCGAGCAGGAGCAAGTGTTCATGGCGGCCGCCGAAGGAGCGACGCTGGAAGAGGACGACGGCGTCTGCGCGACGTCGAGCTGGAAGGAGATAGATTGACGGGAGAAAAAACAATATTCGAAAACGCGGCTTGCTAGAGCTGCAATAAGAAACGCTAATAAGATGAGTTTAGGAAAAATAAGTGATATACTTTGCAGTTGGAAGTTCTCTGAAACTTTTTTGGTGAATTTTCTGGTAGTCTCAACTAACGAAACTTCCTAATTTTCGAGGGTAAAGAACTCATAATATCCTATTCGACAGAAGTTAGATAGATGTCTTTGTCTGTCACTTTTGCTTTCGAGAGCTAGAAAATAAAATCCTTCTATTGTTTTTGTCAGACCCTCTCTTCCTACAAGAACGGAATTGGTACATACCTGGCACAAGTCAAGTGCAGCGATGGTGCCACGCTTCTTCAAATCGGCAATGCGGTTCTCGTCAGGCCGAAGGACGACGTCTTCAACGGCTCGCTTCAAGTCGCCACAACGCATCGCGTCGAATCGAGATGCAGACGAGTTCGTCGACGCGTCAAGGATCTCTTCGGAGGAGCCGGCGCCACAGAAAGCAGCGCCGCTGCTCCCGTAGTCGCCGACCTGCCGCACGACGACGACGTTAGCTCCCTCGTGTCGACGAATTTTGAGGTCTGGGCTGGAAATCCCAGAATACGTTGATAGTTCAGAAAGAGGCAAACGGAGACCAATCACGAGAACAAACAATTCAAGAAACTGCAACTGATCGGAATAATGAGATCAACAAAAAAAGAGAACACATGAGATAGGTAGGTCAAGTGTCAGTATATAAATAGGAGACTTCTAAAAAAACTAGAAAAACTTTTTAAATTTTTCTAAAAAACTCTTTTATCGATGACGATTCTGATAGTTGAAATAGAGAAAGTAAGTTCGAAGCTCTATTTTTTTAAATTTTGAATTAATACTTTGGTTTTAAGAGAAAAAATGTTTTACGAGTAGTTTTCCAATTCATCATCTTTTTTTCCATTTGCAGAAAACATTGAAAAAAATGATTTTATTCTGCTCGATGAAGCCCACTATTTGGTTTGCAGCTTCGGGTTTTCCTGCACAGCTCGACCGATTCCCATTGAGTCAAATATTCCGTGAGACTAAGCTTCGATGTGAATGTAATGCAGAGCAGCAAAAAAAAAAAAATCCTTCAGCGGCAAACCAAGTAATTAGGTTTGTGGACTCGCCAAAAATGTTCTCCTGAGCGCAGTGCAAAAAGTGCGTCGCCATGAAATAAGTCAGTAAATTGTATTAACCGTAGGATTAGGTCAAGAAAAACAAACGAAGTTGTTTTTCGTAAAACCTTTACCTTTTTCGTATTTGTTTTTTTGACGAATTTCATAATTATTTGATTTAATTATTATTAGGTTTACCTGTCAAAAAGAGTGTTGGGATCTTATCGACCTACATTACATAAAAAAAGGTTTGGAACGAGATATTATTTCTCCGCATGGCCTTTGATGACGAACCATGTTTTATATTTGAAAATACCTTTTGGACTTTTCGATTTTTCGAAATCATGTTTTTATAGTTAAAAAAAACTCTGACAATACCATTTATTCCGAACAAAAAAACCGTTATTATCAAATTTTTACGTTTTTTTCCTGAATTGAATAAAAATTTGGAGAAGAGAGGAAAGACTTAAAAGAAAAATACGCGAAGAAGATCTCGTTGGGTCTATTAGTTTCTAGTCCCAAACCAAATTGAAAGCTTGCAGATTTCAAGAACATATTTTGATAAGCTAGGGGCGCGCCGTAGCGCAACAGGTTGTGTGCCTGTCTCCGGTCCACAGGGTCACAAGTTCGATCCCCGCCCCGACCCAACCAAGGGGTTTAAGAAATGTTGGTAGTGGGAGACCACGACTTCAAAATCCCCAGCCGTCACACACAAGGGCGGATATGTCACTGGAGCCAGTCCACTGATTATCATCAGGATAGGACCTCGGCTAATCGACTTGGGGCGCCGACGCCGCTCAAGCGGTACAAAGGCGTAGGAAGAAGAAGAAGAAGAAGAAGAAGAAGAAGAAGAAGATATTTTGATAAGCTAGAAGATCGCTATTTTTTTTCTCGAAAAGCAAAAAATATAGCGAGGCTTTGCAAAATCGAAGCTTCACTCAAGGCTTCTCGATCATGCAAAATTTAATCGCGGCTAGATAAATCAAGCAAATCTCTAGGAAAACTCGCGATGGGACTTTCTAATAAGAAAAAATGGAAAGAACTTGCGGGTGAGAAAACTGGCAAATAAGATTCTTCTTCGCGTGCCTAATAATATCTTTGAATGAGTAAGAAAGGAGAGAGAAAAAAACAGATTAAAGGCGGGACTTACGAGAGTGGGCGGAGTGTCAAGATCAAATATCTCCATGGTAATCAGATTTTCCATTTTCTCATGCTAAGAAAAATGCAGAAGTCGAAGATTAAATCTGAGAAAGATGTAATTACTTTTTTTTTTCGAAAAAAAAAATTGTTTTAATATGTATTGTTGCTGGAAAGCCGATTCAAAAAAAAGAAAAGAAGCAACGTTCATGTCCATAAAAAGAACAGCTTCGAGATCTTCCCTCCGAGAAAGCACGTCACATAGTCTGTTCAACTACCCACTGTTTCAAAGAGCTCTGAAAGTTTTCGGAAAGGTCTCAAGCCATCTCAAGTGCTATTTTGAGTCACGCAAAACTTTCGCGCTTTCGGATTACCGTTTTTTTGAACATAAAAAGTAGTGTTAGTATATCTCATAAAAACGGAAAGTTCTGATCGAACTTCCTTCAGCAAGATTTGAAAAAAAAAACATACTTTTGCGTGACAAACGTCGCTTGAAAAGTCTGAGAAGAAAAAAAAAGCGACCGGAAGTTATGAATAAATTCATTCTAAGACGGGGTCTATCGCCTAAATAGTCTAATCATACCGCCTTATGAGAACCCACGCTTCTCAGTAAATGTGTTTAAAGCTGTGAATAGGAATTCTTCCGTTTGCAGCCATTTTTCTGCATGAAAGGTTTCAGTTCCACAAAAACTAACCTTTCATGTTGAAAAGGGAACATTGTTATTTCAACCGTCCAACTGTTTTTGCGGAGAAGAAAAGGTGCTGAAGCACGGGAAAACAAGGAAAGAGAAAAAATAAGCAGAAATCATTGATTCCGTCTCGTTTAAAGAATAAAAGATAAACGAGTCAGCAAAAGCAAGCCTGAAAGTCACTCGGGAAAAGAAAAATAAAATTTTAAAAAGCTTAAAAACAAAGTAGAAGAAAATTCAAAAAAAGATAATCGGATCTCAGCAGTAAAAAAAACATTTCAATTTCAAAAAAAAATTTTTTTCCTTTCTTCATAGGTGGGGTTAGTTATCCACCTAATGGTCTTTTTCCCTCCCTACCTGTAAGGTTTATATATGAGTGAATAAGGTTCAGAAAACTTTAAAAAGAGAACAATTCAAGTATTGTGTTTCGAAAACACCCAGTGGAGATTTTTCCGTATGGGAAAAAAAATTTATTTGAAATTTTGCAGCAAGATAATGAATATTGTTTTTTTATTGCAAAGAAATTGGATATATTTTTTTTTGAGCTGCGTAGGGACGTGGTTATTCCGAATAATCCATATTCAGTTGTAGTTATACAATCGTAGTAACTTTGCTCAAAAAAATTATTTTTTTAGAAAGAGACGCAAATTTCGCAAAAAAAGAAAAGCGCGTATAAAAAAACACCTGTCAAAGTCATGTTCATTTGAGTTAGAAAAAAATTTTCTTTAAAAATAAATGTAGCAAAACCGAGTCAGCTGTTCCAGAGTTAAAATAATTGACAAGGAAAACAAGAAAAACAGCTTGATCAGAGAGGAAGAGATCATGGCGTGCGTGTGGGCCACAAAATGCGGCACAGAAGCCATGGGAAAGCCCCAGAGTCTTCTCTCTTTCTTGCCGTTGATGAGTGGCAGCTGACGAGTGGGACCTCGTTCCGCAATTACAACACGTTTTATGTCATACTTCCAAATATCAAATGATTTATTATGAAAAAATACGCATATAATCCTTAAAAATAAAGCCAAAAGTTTGCTGATTCCGTTTAACGAAAATTTATTTTGTGAATGTCATTCAAAATTTCGGCGAATTTTCGAAGGGAACAAAAAATAACTACAAAGCTTCTTGAAAAGTCTTTGATGAGTTCTGAACAGAAAAATAGGAGATTGAAAGACCGTAGATGGTACCGCAAAGCGGTTTCCAAACTTATTAAATTTAGCAATTGTACGAAAACTTTTAAAGTTCTGTTAGAAAATTCTGTTTGAAAGAAAAAAATGTGAGGACTTAAACAGCTGTTTCAAGTTTTAGTTTTGTTTGGAAAAAGAAGGGCTTCGAAAATTAAGTGAATTAACGTAAGAGTGAGAAAATCTGAAGAAATTTATCTACCTTTTAGTTGAAACCTTTGAGAAAAATGTTCTGCAGTAGAAAGGGAAATTGTTAGAAAAGAAACAGTTCAGTACAAGAAGTTCTGGTTAACTTTCATTATTGAAAACAAAAATGGAAACCGAGAGCTTAACAGTGTATATGATTACACTTCAAATGAACAAAAATTTTTTTATCTACTTAGTTGAAACAAGCTCCATCCAAAAAGGCCCTTTTCAACAAGTAAAAAAAACTTGACGTATTGAAAGCAAGGCTCAATTAAGAGAGAACAATAAAAGCTTAACTGAGGCTCGGCAGAAGAGACGGAGGGTCAACTTTGAACGCAGCAGACTTAAAATGAGGGTCGGCCACCCGTCACTCCAACAACTGACGTTCGCGGCTTCCGAAAAAATTAATATTTTCTTCTGCTGGGAGAATATAAAAAATTGAAGCCGGAATGAAGCCAGTTCTGGAAGGAGAAAAGACCTTTTTCAGTCATGAAAAAGTCAAGGCTATGAATGAATGAAAGCCAGAAGTCACGAGTGAAAAGCTGAACGTCTAATTGTTTTTCTCTTTTACCAAATTTGATTCGCGTCCCGCTTGGCTTCTCACTTCCATCTACGCTTTCCAAATAGGATTAGGGTCAAATATAGAAGTATCAACTGAGAACGTACATTTTATTCAGAGAAATTAGAAAGCTCTCAATGATAGCATTTTTTTTTCCCCACTTCTCATTAGCATGCGAAATTTAAGGAAGCGATTTAGAAAAGATTAATTCAAGTTCTTTGAAAAAGACGCGCAATCCGTTTCAAGCCGTTTCGCAACAACGCATTCAGGGCTCGTTGCAAAACAGAAAGAAAACGACGTCGCTCGGCGCGGAATTCTAAATTTAGCCTGGAATGACACAAATGTGCTCCGGCGCACAGAGGGGCAAAAGCTCATTTCGGCCTTTTTTTCTCATTCAACGAGCCCTTTTGCCGTCCTTCGCACGTAATGTAATTGAAGAAACAAGTTTGTTTTCTCCTAAATCGTTCCATCAAAAATAAAACTTGATGAGAAAAAGAAAAACTTTGAAATGATGAATAAATACCTTCTGAGAATCGGGGCTTTTACATCATCAAAAATGTATAAAACGCACTAGAAATAAAAAATAATGGACTTCTAGTCCGTTAAAAAGAACTATATGTCGTTTTTAGAGATGCATAAATCACCTGCATTACCTCAAAGAAACTTGAAACGGTTCTTAGCTCAAATATCCTTATGATACACGGCGTTCCCAAACGGGGTGGCAAGACGTCAAAAAAATTTTGGCGCGAAATTTGAAATCTACAGTACTTCAGCTGAAGACGATCGAACAAACAAGTTATTAACGTTGAATATTCAGTGTAATTGTGACGTAATTTTATCCGTAGCGTGCACTAAATTTTTTCTGTAAATTCAGAAACTTTGACGCCTCGCTCACCTTCCCTCACCCCCATTAGGAATGGCGTGGATATCAATCTATCATTTTTTTTTTGTTCTAATAAACGTTGCAAAATTTTTTTTGATCGTAGAGGAAAGTGAAAAACGAACTTGTTCGGAATATTGATCCACAAGTAATAAAAAAGTTGAAGGAGTAAGAAGTGACAGGAGAACTCAGAACTGAAACGCGTTCTCCCATAGGATTTTGAAGAGTTGCGAAATCTCTTTCTGAAAACTGGTTTATATTCAGAACTTCTTAGTATTCCTAATCCATAAAAAGAAAAAAAAAACCTCTAATAATCCGTAATTCGGAGGAAAAAATATAAATGAAAAGTGTAAAAAAGCTCAACGTGTGTTGGTGCGCAGCGATTCGTGGGAGATCGAGAATCTTTGCAAGAAAAAAAAATTTGAAAATGAAATGTAGGAACACATGAGCCAAGACAAATGACTCGGTCATACATATAGGGGCTCACCCAAAGAAGCCCATTGAAAGAGCGAGAAATGTGAAAAACGGGCGGCTCAAAGAAGAAGCTCTCGAAGCCACGCCTCCTGGGAGCCGTTCACTCGACGTGCTTCATCGTGGAACTATTCGAAGAAAACCGAAAAAGTCTTCTTTCTGCTTTGTTAGGGACAAAAATTGAAAAAATAAAAACTAGTTGGAAAAATTATGTAAAACGGCTTGCTCCAATAGATTTTCTTATTCCACGCTACCGAAAATCTTTTTTAATTAGCTAGCGAAAAACTGAAAAAATAAAGTAAAAGAAAATAAAAACTAATATGTTAAATTCATGAATTTTGAATAGATTGGTTTTTTGGTGATAAAATCAAAGCTTTTGTACTTTTTTCGACGTAACTAATTTTTGTAACCTCGATAGATAGACCTTTAACAAATTGCAAGAAAGAAAAAATATTTAAAAAAGTTGATGGCTTAAAACTGACGACGCAATAACGACCGGCCGCCTTAGTTCTGTCTTAAATAAGCGTGGACGAGGGAGCTCCGGGGTTCTTGCAACGAGTTGAACTCAACCACTAAGAATAACTGCCGAGATAAACGCGAGACACTGGCGGTACATTGACGAGCTCGCAAACATCTCGCTTTTTTTCTCGCGCCGGTCTCGCATTTTTCTGGGCGCGAGCTCGCATTTTTCTAGGCGCGAGCTCGCATTTCTCTCGCAATTTGAAAATTTCCGAAATGCGAGATAAATGCGAGATGGCGCCAAGAAAAATGCGAGGTCGCGCAGAGAGAAATGCGAGATCGCGCCTAGAAAAAAGCGAGATGTTTGCGAGCTCGTCAATGTACCGCCACCGACCTCGCGTTTATCTCGTCAGTTATTCTTAGTGACTACCGGCGACTATTAGGAGAGCTCGTTTGTCGCTCTTTTCATTTCTTTTTCACATGTTCATTGATTTTTTCTCATTTATGCATAAAAAATAGTAGAATAGATACATAAAGAGCGCGCTAGCGGTGAACGACCTTTTAAATAGCTGTTGACGCTTGAACTGAACCCGTGCCAAAAACCGCGCACGTTACGCCACGCATGTTTGAGACAGTACTACGGCGGCCGGTGGCCGGTCAATATTGCGCGGTCAGTTTCGGAGCCAGGAAATTTTTTAAATTTTCTTTCTTTTTCGAAATTTGTTAGGGACCTATTTCTCGAGGTTACAAGGTAAGTTACGTCACAAAAAGTACAAAATTTCATTTTATTATTGAAAAATCTATCCAAACTACCGTAATACGACCGGCCACCTTAAACAGGCGTGACGCGTCCGCCTTCCTTTCCTTTCAAGTCGGAAGGTTTCACAGATATATTATATAATACATATGTACATACGTAATAGAGTTCTCAAAGGCAAACGTTTGAACAAACGTTCAACCAAACATTTTTCAAACTTTTATTGAAACCGACCTTTGATTGAAATTTCGAAATCGAACGTTTGATCGGAACGAACATTCATTCAATGTTTGAAAAAAGTTTGATCGAAAAACCAAACGTTCGTTTATTGGTTGGAAAAAGTTTGATCGAAAAACCAAACGTTCGTTTATTGGTTGGAAAAAGTTTGATCGAAAAAACAAACGTTTGTTTTTTGGTCGGAAAACGTTTGATCATAACTTGAACGATTTGAATGTGACCGTTTTCGATCAATGTTTGAAAATGAAATTTTTTCGAAATGTTGAAAACAAACTTTTTCATGATTTCAAACTTTCATTTTTTCAAACGTTTGGTTTTGAGAACTCTAATACGTAAATATCGAACGCGTTCGATAACGAGTCAAAAATTCAAATGCCTTTGGCCGCAAAAAGCGTCAGTGTCGGTAACAATAGCTTTTTTTAAGTTTCATTCCGAACTGTTAAAAAAGGAAGAAAAAGATCAAAAAAGTTCTCATTGAATCTGTATATGGCCTAGAAATAATGAATATTTTGTCGTCCCATTCGTATTTGTTATTTAATAACAATGAACATTGAAATAGCGGCGAATAACGAGGAAATATGACACCAAAAATAATGAAAAAGAGGAAAAAGAGGTTTTTTTTCAATAAAAGTGTTGGAATGATACGCTCAAATTGCTTCTTGAATAACTAAACGATTTATATCTAGGATTATGAGAATATTTCCTACGTTCCGCATTCTCCATCTTCAAAAGCGAATAAAAAACTTCTTCACACTCGGAAAGTCAGAATGCGATTCTATGCATGGTAAAAATTGAATCATGAGATTTGAAATGGACAGCGATGAAAGGGACGGACGACATACAAATTACAGACGGCCTTGAATGCGGGAGGCAACCATTTCGCGGAATTTTCTGCTTCACAGAATTTTAAAATCGAATTAGCGTAATAATAAAGCAGCTGTAGGATGCACATTCCGGAAATAAAAATGAGTAATTAGTGGGTAATTAAGAATTTCGGAAAGGCTTGCCAATACTTGCCTGCTTAACATTGGTCAGAGTTCATAGGCGGCTCAAATAACTCAGATTGATTCATTCAGAAGCCTCAGACATCAAATGTGGGGTGAACTGCCGAAACAGCTTAGCGCGTTTCGCATTGGACAGCTGAAATTAGCGGCGCTAATTCCGCACTGAGCCGTGGCTCTTATTATCCGGTCATTCGTTCCTGAAGCTTCGCAGAATTCGGAACGCTTGGGAAAGTCCAAATTGATCTCACTATCGTTGAAAAAAGACCGTTTTGCACACCGATAAAAGTGTCGCATATCAAATTTGCATGATGGAGCAGCGCAATTTGAGCCTCCCGTTCTTCTTGAAGAACGCGATGCGAGAAGTCAAACAAGTGCAAATATCAGCGCTTTCAAGGGAAAACAAAGTATTTCACATCGCCTCTGAAAAGATGGGCAATGATTCCAGAATTTTCGAAAAGCAAAAATAGCTACGCGTTTAGAATTTTCAAGATTTTTGAATGAAATTACTCGCTTTTTCTATTTTTTCGATAATTTCAAAAAAGTTGTGCAGCCCTTTCCTGAAAATCATAGCCTAACTTTGAAAATTGTCGAGGCGATCAATCGCATAGGTAAAACTGAAAAGTTCCTTTGAGGATCCTTAAAGGATCCTAAGAGGGAGATAAAAAGCTTCCTCTAAAAGCTCCTAAAATGATGCAAAAAAGCTTTTGAGCACCTTTTTCATAGCCTCAGAGGATCCTTTTTGAATCCCTCTCGGATCTTTTTAGTTGCTTTCCAGCATCCCTTTTTGTCAGAGGATGTGAAAAAAAGATGCAAAAAAGAACTGAAATGATGTAAAAAAGATCTGCTGGGGATTCTTTCAAGGTCTTTTTTTGAGAAAAGCTTTTGGGGAGCTTTTCAGTTTTGCCCGAGCGTTTACATTGTTACTTTGAGTAAGTTAAAAATTCTAGGTCTTAAAAGTTTTGAACAACTGAAATTATGATCTTACAATCGAAAAACAACGGAAAAAAAGGGAAGCAGTAGGACTAATAGATTTTAAATCAATAAACGTTTTTCTGACTGATTGAAAAAAAAATTTGATTTTTTTATCCTTCAGAGATTTGGTGATCAAAACTTTTTTCAAGAAAAATTATCTCAGTTTGGTTCAAACCACAACGTCAATAAACTGAAAAAAGTTGAAGGGAAAAGTTGATAAATGTTCGATAACAAGATTTTAATATATTGAAAAAAGCGATCTTCTGAAGCTAAATACGTTGGAAGCGTTGTGGAAGCTGAATCGATCGGGTGTTGCACCGAAAAGAGAAGGGACCCACGTTGGCGTGTTTTGTGCCCTAGAGGAAACGAATGAGAAAAGGCTGGAACTGCTTTCAGCCATTGGATACGTTATGAGGAGACCGGCAGAAGCTCACGTCATTCATTATTCAAACGCCGTCGAAAAACTGAGGAGTTCTGAGCAAAGTCCACGTCAAAAAAAAAAGATTGAGAAAATGAAAAAAAAAATTCGAATTAAAATATTAGCAATTATTTAGAATCATGACCTTTTTTCGATTTAGTGTGACCACAACCTTTTTCAAAACCTGAAACAAGTTTTTTTTGTCGCCTCAAATTATTGAAACCTTCTTAAGACACAAGATCTTCTGTGCGAAAGTATCAGTCTCCCTGAGATAAATAAAAGCATAGATCGCAGAAAATTTTGAATTATTCGATGTTCATTTTTTTTTTGTTTACTAGGGAACGTTTTCAAAATTTTTTATGAGTTTGTAAAAAAAGAAGAAGAAAAAAATTTACCTTATCCTGAATTCAGTCCAAATTTCTCAAAGTAACTTTTATGGTCTGTTTAAAAGTCTGAGCTGAAAAGAAAGCAGAGGTCGAATTCCTTGCTTTTTCAGTAAGGTCATTATCAGATATAATTTTTTTAAATTGCAGTAGATATTAAGAAAATAATCACGAACAGCATTTCAGATAATTCAAAAAGGTCAAAAACAGGCAAATCTTACTCAATATTGAGTAAATGTAACTTTCAAAAAATGTTTGAATTTTTAAGAAATTCGAAAACTTCTCCTGAGAACTTTCAAGAACAGTTTGAAATTCGAACGCATTCTCTTCTTGATGCTATTGAAAACAGAGAAACTCAAGTAAAATTTCAGTTTTCAGCCGAACAACTGGAAAAAAAAACAAAAACACGTTAGTGGAGCCTCACTAGGAATATGTGAAGTATTTGAAGAAGAAAGACAAACTTTGTGAGGAGCTCGTTTTCTCAAAAAGTCTATAAAAAGTGAGCGGGTAGAACACGTGCCTTATCACTTTACTTGTTTGAATAGTGGAACGGGAAAAATGGCCGTTCAGAAATAGTTTTGACTTCGAACTTTCTTCATTGTGAAATCGTGCAATTTTATAAATGATTTTACTCATCTTAGAAAAACACAAAGCAAGTGGTCGAATTTAGACACCGGTGAAAACACAAAAATAGACAAGAAAGCACAAAAATGACATTTGAAAGTAGTTCAGTAATATAGGGTGTGGCTATAAAATGATTTGAATCGATAAGAGCAAAAAAAATTGTCCTTGGCTGAATTCCATGGAAAAAACTTCAAAATATTTTAACCTAGTTAAGTATATACAAGAGACTGAAGCTCAGTAGATTCAGAAAGTTCAAAAGGGTCTGCGCTCCGGAAAAACTGACGGAACCATTCCAACTTTGCTGGTCGCAAATCGGAAACGGACTGCAAACCTGGCGATTTCATCAGCCAAGTTCTCGGGGCTGTCCTCCTAAAAAAAATGAAATTTACAAAATTTTTGATTTTCAAAGTCTAAATCTCTGTCACTAGCCTTTAAAATCTCTTAGTTGTGCTCATCTATAAGAACTACACAGCTTATCAAGCTGAGTCATAACTTTCAAGCCAATCAAACGCTATTCAACTGAAGAAGTAAACTGAAAAAAAGTTTTATACAGGTTTTTATATTCAAAGTGAACTCCTTTTCTTTATTGGTGAATTTTTCTTCATGGTGGGTTGCACAGATCAAAGCGAGCTGAGATTGTGTCAGGTTTTTGAATGCATGAATGGTTTACAACTTTGAAACTTTTTGGTTTCAATTTTCGCATAAAACAATCGCATGAATAAAAAAAATTAGGGCGCCACATGTTGAACACCGCATGAATCTCTCTTATTATTATAAACTACTTACCATATAAACTACTTGGTTAGCTAACCTTTCTCGTATCATTTTCTTGAAAAAACCTCACGAATTAGACAGGCGGGCTTGAAATCGAGTAAAACACTTCTCTACAGATCAAATAGTTAAGAAACCCATTATGTAGAATTATCCCGTTTTTGACAGCCGAAAAATCGAGTGTTTTTGGATCCTCACCTGCACACAATGGCCGACTTTTGGAAGAAGACACGTCTGGAATTTGCCTTGCATTTGGGCGATCTTAAATGAGAAGATGATTTCAGTTATTCAAAGCTGAAAACCGTCAAATCCCGATCAAATCGGTCGACACCGGCGAGAGCAAGAAGCTTGGGAGGCGAGCAATCGAGGAATTTCGAAGAAAGTCCTTCGAACCATCCTCGCCAGTGAGGCTCCGTTTTTGCGAGGTCGATCCGCCATGTCAGCTGGAAAGAGAAAAACTATGTTTCCATTCAATTCCAAACCAGCATCTCTTGTAATCCAGGTGATACAATTATTATTCTCATTTTCATTTTACGCAGTAAAAATTTGTCTACTCTGATAAAAAAGAGAAAAAGAAATGTTGAATTACCTGATTTTCAGTAATTTCGCGAAGCTGAGAAGGCATACTGATGCGCGCGGCTGTCGAATTTCGCGTCATCGCGGATTTGAGGCAAAACTTGATGGCGTTTTCGTAAGAAGAGAAGGTAGGAGGTCGAGAGTTGAGGAAGTGAACCTGGAAATCATAATAATTAGAGAAAATATCAAGTTAGACGTTTCTGAAAACTATACGATGTTCGCCAAACCGAGAAAAATTTTTTTATTTATTCTTTCAAGAACAATATTGACGAATTGGAAATCATTAAAAAGGAATACCTTTAATTTTCTCTCACTCCTCTATAGAATCGACCACAAATGGGTTTTTTGAACGAATCACTCATTTAAAGCCAAAATTATTATATTTTTTGATATATAGTTCAAAGAGCAATTCGTACGATTTCTCAAATCAGAAAGGAAAACGAACCATTCCGCTCAAGGATTCCATTGCAGTTCCTTCCACAACATCGATTACAATCAGTCCAACGACGTTCGCCTTCAAAACTTTTTCGTGCACCACGTGAACCGCCAAAGCTCCGCCCATACTAAAAAAAATTTTTTTGAAGATGCCTTAAATCAAGTTTACCTGTGGCCTATGACACAAACGCTCACATCTCCTTGGTCTTTTTCAAAAAGTTTGTCGAAAATATCGGCGATATCTCTGAACTATGTTTTATTTGACTTTTAAAATAAACAGAAACAAACCGAACTTGACGAGAAACAGAAAGATCTTCTTCGTCTTCAGAATGAGAAGCACCATGGCCTCTAAGATCGGGCGCAACTATTCGACATTCTATTTGGTCACATAAAGACTTCTGATTCGGGAAAGAAAATGTAATTTTTTTCTAGCAAACATGAAACTAACGGCAAAGCACGCCCACGTGAGACCAGAGTAACCACCACCATGTAGAAGATAGAATATGGGACCGCGGGAACCCTAAAAATAGAAAAAATATTTCTTACTGAATCACCCGAAAGACGAGCTATTTCGCGAACACTAAATTGACAGATGAAAGGAAAATACTTGCGACGTTAGAAAAAAAAAAGAAGAAAAAGATGAACACTTGAAAAGAATTATAAGTTATAAAAGCTATCGACTTTATTTTTTCAATGAAAAAATAAGTTTTGGCGAAAGAATTGATTTACCTTCAGGTAGACAGTGAAAACATCTTCCCCAATGTGAAGCTCACGTTTTTCGTCGAAAAATTGATTCCACAGTAAAGGTGTCAATGTGTTTGTCGCCATCGTAGATTTCCCCGGATTTCTGAAAACGGAAGACTATTGGAAAAATACTCGAGACCAACCCATGCTTGGGAGGTAAATTTCGCGAAAGAACACTTTGCAGAAGCGGCTTCTAAACTTTTCTTCTAAATTTAGCCAATCAAAGCTATATGTGATTAAACTTACCGCGGATGTTGTTGGTTCATGCTGAGTGGGCAGAGGTGGAACAAAATCTTCCTCTTCCATTTCCGACATCTTTGATGAGAAAATGTGTTCTTTGAGAAATTTAAAATTAAAAGCCGACTTTTAGATAAGATTTCCTAAGCAATCAAAATGAGCAAACATATTTTCGGAACTACTGTTTTAGATATGACTATAACCGTTATTCATTCGCTATTAAATTCCACCATTCAAAACTTTGACAAGAAAAAGTTGAACATATTTTATTGTGGCGTGTTCATGGGATGAACGGAACATGCTGCAAAACAAAAATTCGTGTTTATTGGCGCGACAAAGTTATTCCAGAACAGTACTAATTATTGTTTTGGAGCAATTTCCTTGCGTTTCGAAGCAATTTTCGGTTTGTCCGATGAACACGCCATTAAAAATAAAAAATTTTCTTTTGGTCCTTGTCAAACGCGCCCTACTGCAATTTTTTTTGTTTTGGCGCTAACTCGAATTTTAAGATATTCTGAGCGTGTTCATCGGACGAAACGTAAATTGTTCGGAAATGCAAGAAAATTGCTCCAAACGAAAGTTAGTATTGTTTTGAGGTGATTTCGGTGCGCTGATAAACATGCTTTTGCGTTTTGAAACATGTTCCGTTCTCCGGTGAAACGCGCGTTTAATATTTCTTGATTTTTTTTTTTTCGTTGTTTTGCTTTTTTTTCCAAATGTATTAGTATTATGTTCAAGTGCAGGTTTTTCAGAAAATGCAAACAGGCGTCGAATTCGAAATCGAACCGATCTCTGGCCGAGAAGCTGCTCAAAAAAATTTTTTTCGTCACTCTTCCTGAAAAAAAGCCGCAAAGTACTCAAATCGGAGAGTTTCACTGAATGAACGGTTTTCGATAATAGGCTTGTTTTTTATTTCTTAAAGTCAGATTCAATTAGGAATTTTTATTTTCAGAAAGAGGATATGTTTTAACGCCGTCGTCCATGCCTGACCGTCAAGCTCCAATTGTCAAAGTGCTACCGACCGAAAAGCAAACCAAAGAATCAAGTGAAATATTTATGAGAAATGTGCGTTTGGATTCTTCTCAATCAACAATATTTTCAATTGTATAAGTGCTCTTGATATTCATCTTCTTACTTTTAGCAACTCGAGGAAACAGCACGATATGAGGCGCGACAAGAAAAAATTAATTCGGTATGTTTTTATTTTTTTTTTTCAAATTTATTATGATCCCGTTATGAGAACTTGTTGACGTGATTTTTTCAGGGCGAAAACAACAAAGAGAATGTTACTCCATGAAGTTTTCAGTATAAATTGTGTTTCATTAATTGTTCATTTTGCCGAAATCGAAACAACTTTCATGAAATGTAAATTAGCACGTCTTTTACTGATAAATAATTTGTTTCAAATCGTTTTCAGCGTGATTTGAATATAAAATATTGGATGGGTTGGTCATTTCTTGATTGTGAAGCGGCAGGGAGTTTTTTTGGTTAGTTTTATGCCGTGTTCAAAGTAATTTCGGCGATTTTAAAATTGACGCGTTATCCGTTTAAAATAATTTCGGGAAATAGGAAAAATAGGAATTCCGAGAGGGCGCAGAAAAAATGAACCCTACAATGATATATCGCAAGATATGCATTTTCTTGAAATCATTTTTAACGAATAAAGAGTCAATTATGAACTTGCCGAAATTACTTTGAAAACAACAATTTTATTCAACCATCTTTAGTTTTCAAAAAATGCTGGAGAGTTTCTAGGCTTTTTCTATCGAAGAAGTTATGACAGTACTGGAAGTGGTACTTTCTGTAATTTTGGCGATTGCCCTGCTTCTTCTCATCCTTCTTTCATTTTTGTTGCGAGCTGCGCTGAAGTGAGATTTTTTTAATCGATTTTTATTGAGGTTTTTCGGAGAATCTAATTTTTGATAACTGTTAACTGAATTATTAAGGGAAAAAGAATCCAATAATTAAAAGGTTTGAAAAAGAATTTGAAAACGGTTCTTTGATTTTAATGAAGTTTTACCTACTTTACAATCTCTAGGTAAGATTTTCGATCGTATTTTGTTTCTAATTTCAAAAGGCGTTGCACTGGAGCAATAAAATATTCGGAGTTGTTCTCATCAATTTTAGATCTCGAAACGGGGAAAGGCAAAATTCTAGGAAGAACAGTACTACTGAGCTTGTTTCTGCAACCTCTCCAGTCCCTCAGAATGACAACAGGTTTTTGTGCTGAAGCATTTTTGTAACGATTTTTGATTCTTTCGAAACAGATCGTTTTTTTAAGATCGGATCGTGAAGAGTATCAGAAGAAAAAATTAAACGAGAATGTGGAAGCTGGTCATGTTAAAAGATCCAAGGAACCAGGCAATTTTACCGCGAAAAGATCGAAAGAAACGAACAAAGATCATGCGCCTCGATCCGAATTAGACAACGTTTTTTTTTTCATTTTCACGTCCTATTATTAGTCCTAGAAAACTTCTTTTTCATTTATAGCTTTTTCAAAAAAGATAATAAAAAAATAAATAAACACTATCGATTAGCAGAACACGGGGCCACCGCCTATAGAAAGAAGCTTACGCCAGGTTGAGCATTTTTTTCGAGCAATGTTGCGAGAATTGTCATTGGCAGATTTTGTCGGAGCCCGTGAGCCGACACGAATTCGAAAAATACATGACGTCGGTGGTCAAGTTTGTGAATGATTATTTTGACGACTCTCACACTCATTCGGTGATTCCTGGCGAGTTTCTCGAGAAATTCAGAGACATCAAGGAAAACTTCCAGACACGGATGTGAAGACGAAAAGTGACCTTTGCCGAAAAATGAACACGCAATTCTCCAATAAACCTGCGTCGTGTGAGAAAATTATCGAGGACGTCAAGAAAATCATCCTGCCAAATGTAAACTTCTTCTGTCTTTCTCGGGGTTTCAGAACTTTTTTGAGTCTTCAACGAGAGGTCAAGTTTGAAAATATAAGTTCTTCAAAAGTTCAATGATATCTTCTTTTTCTTCTTACGACCTTTTACTGCTTGAGCGGCGTCGGTGCCCCAAGTCGATGAGAGAAGGTCCTATCCGGATATAAACCGTGAACTGGCTATAGTGAAATATCCGTCTTTGGGTGTGATGGCTGTGGTTTGGGAAGCCGTGGTTTCCCACTACCAAAATTTCTCAAACCACTTCCAATATTATTTCTGGATTTGTTTACTGCTAACGGCACGTCTGTTCAAGGCGGCCGGTCGTAATACGGTAGTCCGGATAGATTTTTCAGTAATAAAATTAAAAACATATCTATAAAAATGATTTTGTTTCCTAGGTCTTAACTTAGTTCAATCTCAATATGTGACTTTTAAAGGCATAGGGGCAGTAAACAATGGGGTTTCGATGAAAGCAATATCTTATATAGTTTTTCTTTGCGAATCGAATCGTGTACTCAAAAAAATTAAAGATGTGAAAACTTTAGAAGAAAAACGCGATTTTACTTTCGCGCTTTTATTTTTGAAAAAAGCTTTGGATCCGTGCTCAGACAACTGATTACAGTAGCCGTACACGCGATGTTGCGGACGCCTCATTAGACTCGCATTTTGTGAGAAATAACCGGATATCTGCTTCAAATTAAAGGTTTCTTCTCTGAAAAAACATTTAATCAAACAAAAAACACACATTGATAATAAAGAAAACACAAAATATCGCTATCCCAATCGAAACCTGTGTAAAATCATCATTTTTCACCGAAGAAGCATTTTTGCGATCAAAGTTTGCAAATTATACATGAATAGAAAGCTTTTGTGACGAAAAGAACTTTGGTGACAACAGAAAAAATTGAAATTTGAAAGAAACGAAGAAAAAAGCGAAAATCCGGAAGATGGCGAAGCCTGTTGTCCATAGAGCAACTTTACTACAAAGCGCCCTTTTCGCGGGAACTCAAGATTTCATTTCTCCGACTTTGAATTATTTTTTCTCCGAAACTAAGAAATTCGGTACGTTTTCAAGTTTACCGTTCGATTCGCAATGAAAAGCTCTACAAAGTACTGCTTTGAACTGAAACACCGTTTTTTACTGCCCCTATGCCTTTAAGAGTGGAAAATAATAGCAAGTTTACATTAAAAATGGCTTCTTTTATGAGTAAATCCTCTATTATTCTCATTTTCGATGTGCCATGCTCAACATCCACGATATCACGCAAGTTTTTCTGGCAGATCTCTCGCCGACATTCTTGCCAACACGATCGCTTCTGCTCTGGGTTGTGATTTGGTGCTCTCTTCCTTTTCCTACCTCATTAAAAAAAAATTTTTTTGTCTAGAAATCTTCCGTGCTGTTCGAAGGTTTGGAAAGCATTCTCTGTGCCTGGCTTAGCTCGGCCTTTGGTCTACCGAGCCAGTATACACCAATCAATAAGCCGGTTATTATGGTTTTGAAAATTTATGTACTCGATTTTTTCAGAATATAATCGAAGAAAAGTTTGTCGGGTTCACGTTTTACACGACGATGGACGTCTATTTGTCCCTGATTCAACATTCACGACACGTCGCTGACGTTTCTTTTTCCTCGATAATGACTTTTTGAAGCGAAGAGTTTTCACCGCCAGATTGAGAAAATAATGACTTTTTATACTGCTAAACTTTTTAAGTAGTTTTGCTGATCTCGCGTTAGGCGGAGATCGAACTGTAATAAGTAAAATCTTATACATTTTTTACAAAGAGACTGAACGAGAAACCTCTTCAAATTTAGCTTATAAGTGGCTAAACAAAAGGTCATCTGATTTGTTCGATAGATATATTTTGGCGACTCCTTTATCAGTGAAATTAGGAGATTTCCAGAAGACTAATTCGCACTCAGCTCGGGAAGTTCGCTTATCAATGGACTACGTTGTATATTGTGGAGAAGACGTTAATTTCGAGCGTTTCTAAAAAATATTTTCGAAAATTTAGGCACAGTTGCCTTTAGAAGAAGCCTGTAGACTGGCGCGGGTGAAGCTGCGACGAGTTCGCAAGTCTCCTTTGAGCAAAGTCGAAGGATTGACTGGCGCTGAAGTGGCGAAACAGATCGAGAAGGTCAGAAGAGCTGGACATTTGTTTTTTCTAAATATTTTCCATGAACTTCGGAAATGCTCAATTTTCAGTTTTCTGTGTGAATTTAAAAAATAATACGGATTTTTGAAATTTGGTATTTCTAGGACTGTCTAGTTCATCAACGCAACTTTCGATTACCTTTCAACAAATTTTTAACGCGTCTACTAGTAAGACCACATCACTTGTCAAAGATTTTGAGCAATACGTTTTTCGAATACTTGTCGAATTTTCCAGACGAGTTGAAGTTTTAGGATCGTTCCCGAAAATTGCATCCTCTTTTGATAGTCGCGACTTACGGATCAGCCAACATTGGCGCTACGGACAGCCTCTCAGAACTGATCTCGTTGGCAGAGAAGTTGGTTTTCTCGGTCTCCCTCATGTTATGTGAAAACTTGTGCAGATACAGGATCAAAATCCATCTAGACGCGACCTACGCCGGTTGTCAATGGGTCGAGCCACAGTATCGCAACGCCATTCAGTTTGATTCTCCTGGGTTGCTGTACTTTTTATGATATTCTTCCAGCTCTTCGTTGGCTTCCGTCCACTCATTCCACGTTTCCCTCTTTACACTCTTTCCTTATTCGGGCAGACTCACGATCATGTGGGCCATCGATGGGTTCAGCTTCGAAACCAGTGAGAATACATACTAGAAAAGAACCCACAACAAAGAAAATTAAGTGAGCCAAAACGACAATGCCCATCAGATGTCGGAAAATGTTCTGCGACTTTGGCTTTTGTTGCGTTTTTACGGACTCGACTCGCTGAGAGCGACCGTCCGAAAGGTCTTTATTTTGTTATTTTTCTTTTGGCTCCGGTTTTTGAATGAGAGTGGACAAATATAATAGAGGTCCTGAAACTAGAAGTTTTTGGCGTTTTTCGAGACCCTTGTAAGACTTCGCGCTAAAAAAATTTAGTGATAAATTTTGAACAGATATTCAAGTTTCCGATTTCAGAAGGTTAATCTTGGAAAGTATTTCTCTGACCGGCTTGAGGTGCATGAAAAAATTTTCAAAGTTCTTTATCACAACGATCATGGCATCGTTCTGTTCCAATACATCAAGGTAGGATCGCGAGAGACCTGAAGATGAATGAATTTTGAAAATGTCAGAAACATGAAGAAACAATGAACGAGGACGTGAACACGATGACGTCCAAGTTCTTCAACTACGTCAACAGCACCTCGCAGATGAAGCTCACTTTGTTGAAGGTGAAGACTTCTGGAAGTTTTTCGAAAAGCTAGACTTTTAGTATCACGAGCTGGTGCTCATTCGTGGCTGTGTCAACTACGAACGAAGCAACGCTTCGATGGTCGACGAGTCCGTCTCGACGATCCTCAACCTTGCCGAGGAGTTTGAGGAGAAGCTCAGTGAGTTTGGAGGGTTTGTGAAAAATGAAATCATCCAGAATGTCTCTAGAAGCCAAAAAAGTCTCCTTATTTTTTTTCGAAAAAAGTTTAGGCTTTTGTTTTGAATTCTTTCAATAGCGGTTTAGAATTCACAAATAAGCATCAATAAAAATATTAATATGTTTTTTCCGGTTAGCGGGAAATTCAAGGATCTTCATGTGCGCTTCATTGATATAATTTTAACACTGTGGAATCTTTTTTTCCAAAAGATTCAAGGACATTTAGCCCTCCGTGACCATTTTATAAAAAAATGCATGAAAATTCCTTTTTCGAAAAAAATTAACAAAAAAACTGTCTTTCACCAAATCTCGAAAAAAATCCATAACACTTTGAAGAAAGATGTAGAAGTTGAATTTGAGAATTTTCACGCCGTATCCATGGTGCGCACATGCCAACTCGGACACATCCTTATTTTTTTTTCTTGGATTTTTTCCCATTTCTTAAAAAAAGAATAAAAAACTCTTTCTGCAGAAAAGAGACCGTTGGAGTGTCTTTCTTCGCCGACGTGGTATCTGACTCCTTTGATCGGCGGCTCTCCCAACGAAACCACCGACAAAACTCAGCCTTCCAACTTGTGATTCTTCTTCTTACTTTTCTTATCTGTCTTTTTGTCGAACTTTTTGCTCTAATCGTTTCGCGACGTCTTTCCACATAAAGATCATTCCCCGTTGTTGTTTTATTTTCCTGTTATTCGAAGGTTCTGAAGTCACGAGCCTGGAAAAGTATCTCCTTTCTACCAGTTCTTCTCATAAAAAAGTCGTCCAACAAAGCATAAGTGTTCTCTGGAACTTTGCTCATTTAGGCTCAATATTTTGGAGGCCGCCGCCGCTTCTCATAGATAGATTTTTCTCATAGTTGGGTCGCCCTATGTAGTATTCCATTATATTTTCTCTTTTTTTTTCTCACAGCTCTTGGTTGTCGCCATGTGTGTGTGGCGAATTAAATGAATGTTGTTAAAAGAGGACAAATATCCGCAAAAAAAAAATGATAGGCTTGAAGATGGGCTTGGCCATGTACATAGTCGAATTTGATGGGGAACGAAATTATTGAAACCAGGATGGGGAAGAGTCCGTGGCTATTATCCAATTATCTTCATGCCGGACGGCTTTTTCCGCACTTCTTCCATGCAATTTTCTTGGGATTTATTCATTCCCATCAACAAAATCACATGTTTGTCCTCGATTTTTTCATTTTAATGTTGTAACATCACGCATTTGTCGTCCTTATTTTTTGAACAGTTGTATAGCTTCAAAAAGCCAGTTTTTGTGTTTGGAGGCGCATAGATTAGTTTCAGAAAGGTCTTGCCGTTTCAGCGTTAATTCAGGTCAAGTTAAAATTTTCCCTGAGCGAACTGTTTTAACTATAGTATGTTTGTAAAGTTCTTACTGAAGTGTTTCTAGGAGCAAAGGCGAGATCAGAAAGGTCGCCTTTACTCCGTCTAAATCTAAGCCTTGGAAAAAATAGCTTCCAAAAGTTCCTTTCACTCATTTCACATTGCTCGGCGATCTTCGGCACGGCAGTTTTTTTCGCAACAGAGGAGCGTCATTTTCGGCCACACATTAATCGTTCCAGAAGCGGCGAAATCCGCATTAAGGTCCTAGTTTTCGTGGATTCTTTCCGATTAAGAGCAAAGCTCGGCCCCATTCGTCTCCATTTCGTCAGTTTTACAGCTTTTATGTTCGCTTTGAGTAGTTCCGTAGCTTCTAAGTTTCTGGCTAACGATAATGAAAACCTCAAAGTAACCGCCATGCTTTCTAGTCAGCTGAAGGGCGATCTTCAGAACCTGGTGCGGTTTTTTTTTCGGACTGTAAATAAAATACCTTATCGAGAGGTTGACTTACTTAGTCGTTTTTTTTTCCTTTCTTCTTCTACAAGGAAATTTTTGGGGTATAAGGAGATCAGAAATATTTTAGAAAGAATGATTCCAGCCGTAATATAAGTTTCTTTTCTATTTTTTCGAACGAAGAAAAAATTTCAAAAAAAAAGTTATTTTTTTCATAATCCAGTTTTAAGATACCTCAGTACTGCTTCAGACTTAACGAAAAAAATATTTGATCTCAAATATAGAAGAACGAAAAAAATTCTTCTATTTTTAGGATTAAGTACATGAATAAGATGAATGAGAACAAAAGGCCCCATTTTTTGAGCTTAATCTTATATTTGCTGAGCGAATCGATGGCTGACGCTTCTCTTATCATTCCCGTATATATCGGCCTGTTTAGTTATTTATCGCGTTTTCATGCACGTTTTCCGCGACCTCCTTTTTTGGCTGGATCCGCCATCTTTTTTATATCGAGTTTCAGGTAGTTCCCTGGACACTTGATAGAGAAGATGCGAGAAAACAACAGGTCCCGCAGTCCGTTCATACTCGGTTAGTTTTGTATTTTTTTTTCTCGATTTAGAAGAATGAGTTAGAGTGGAGGTCATTTTATCGCTAAAAAACTCAAATTCGAATGAAAAATACCAGAGACCCGCGATTTTTGGCGAGCTCATTGTTATTTGTTTTTCTACCTGCTTTCTAGTCAATGGTTTTGTATATGATCTCAAAATGAGGTTCAAATCGTGAAAGCTCAAGTTTCTTGCCCGTAAATGAAGTCTTCGTGATGAGTATATGCCGAAAAGGTCTTGACCTTTTCTGAATAGTCCAGAAAATGTTGAAATTTTGTTTTTGTTCTTGCGTCTCGGAAGCTACTTAATAGACTCTGGCCATTAGGAAATGTCTGAATAGGGCGCTTAGAAAAAAAAACCGAAGAAATGGCTTCGGCAGGCGCCGTTGTCCCTGTTACCGCCTCGCCTAATAAGCTGAATTGAATAAATTTGCACCCGAAGCAGCCTTTCCGAGCCATATTTGGTCCTTAGAAGTTTTTTTCTTTGTCATAATTTTGGTTTCTTTTCAACTTTTCGAAATAAAATTTTCTAAAAAAGTTTGGAAAACAGCGAAAAGCTTCAAAATTAAGAGATTTTAAGTTCAGCATTATCTTCTGTGCCTCGGCCTATTCCCTAAATTTAAACTTTAATTTTTTTTTCTTATTGAGAACTAAATCGATTGGAAACGAATTCTCACACGTCTTAATATTGAAAAAGGCAAAAAAAAAGCTGCCAGGTGAGGGCAAAGATGACTTTTCCTTATTGAATGATTCAACTTCATTAGACGCGTCTCTTTTTTTATCGAGCCAACCAACGCTATTTCTAATTCCTCCTTTTTTGCGGGCTTCATTTATCTTGAAAGCCAATATTTTTTTCGTCTTCCGCGCCCTTTTGATCTCGTCAACGTCGCTAACGATACTAATTAAGGAAACCAACTAATTGATTTTTTTTCGAAAAAGATGTCACTTTATTCGATGACATCGCTTTCATCGGTCTTCAGCTCTTCCGGTAAAGTTTTGGGCTGAATTTCAAGTTTTCTATAACCGCGACGCGTTTACTTCATAAATTTTCAAAGTTGTTTCATTTCGTGGCGGAGAAAGTTGGAATTTCTAGGTTTCGAGTTGAATTCGAGTTGATAAATGAACGTATAAATATGTTCTTTGAACTTAGAAGAAGGTTCAAAAAACTTTTTGGTTGGTGAAATTTGACTAGAATATATATAATTTCGCAGTTTTCGGGACAAAAAAACTTAAAGTAAAATTTCAAAAAAACCATCGGGTTCATACTTTTCTCATCGTTCTTGTCGTGATTTTCACTTCTTTTTTTTGGTGTTCGAAATGATCAAGCCTTTTTTTTTGAATGAATATAAGAGGAAAAAAGCTTCTTGTTGAAATTTCCTTCAAAAAAAATTTTTTCCTTCTTTTTCATTCACATCGATAATGTCAGTTATTGCATTTCCAATGAAACAGTGTCAAGATTTCGTACGTATTCCGTAACCGAAGATAGCTGTTAATTTTGTCTTTCAAACTGTTTTAACACTAAAAATAATTATTGACCTTTTTTTGATTTTATTTTCAACCTCGCATTTAAAAGGAGCTGAAGAGCGCCATATTATTCTTCTCTCCCATAGTTACTTGGATGTGATTTTTGTGCCTTCATTTGGCTCGGATGTTCTACGTTTGATGTTTAATGTTTTGAAAGTTTTGTTGAGCCATAAAAAAAAACGAATCATTTTGTGATCCGATTCCTGGGCAAGTTGACGCGACAATTTCCGTCTTGACTGTTTTCCGAATCGATGACATAACGAACTTCTTTTTCTCCACTGGATATCTCCCGGGGAACGCCTTTTCTGGCCCGTAAATTGTGTTTGTTTTTTGAGCGCGCAAGGCTAAATTGCAAATGAAGTGGGGTCTGCTTTTACGAGTTTTCCGATAATCCTCTTATTGAGTGTGAAGTTTTCTGAGGGATTATTAGATCGTTTATTTTTTATTTTTCAGAGTCGCGGTAATAATTCTACCGATTCTTTTGCGTCTGAGCTTAGGTCTCAAAAATAATGAATTTTAAAATTGAGCCCAATAAATCTGTGATTCATTTCGAGGAATTTGTAATTTTGGATTTCAGGTAAAAACAGAAAGTTGGTCCCGACAGATTCTGAAAAAAACTACGTACATTTTATTCACCAGCTTATAATCAGAAGAAAGTATTTTTTTTAGCTAGAAAGACCTACACGGTAGGTTGCAAATTCGTTCTATACAAAAGCTATTAAAATGAAGGATGAGATTATTTGAAAGTTTGGGAGGTTAGGCTCACTTTTTGAGAAAATATTTTAAAACCAATATCTGCTGAAGCAATGCAAATTTCATTTTCAAACGGTTTTTTTCTCGAAAGTCTGAATGAAAAATAAATAAAAAATTAATTTAACAACATTTTTCCGTTCTTCCGGGCTTAATGAATTTTTGGCCCTAGGAATGTTTTTTTACCTTTTTTTTTTTGATTTTTGAAACTTTTGCTTACTTCTCGTCTGTTCTGAGATTCTCGAAATTTTTTGTCGGAAAAATTTGAAGAAAAATGAAATTCAATGTAGTTTAAGCTCATTAACCTCTATTAAAGTCTCTTGAATACACTTGTGATTCAACAAAAAGGCGAGAGGCCTTTTCAGAAGACATGTATTTTTCTTGATTCGAAGAAGAAACAGAAGGAAATCCGCATGTCGGTTATGGCGAGAAATGGGCGGGATCATACAAGCTCCGCCCTTTTTTCTAGCCTCCTTGACTCCTTGAACCTTCTTTCTTTGAGCTTCTTTCACCGCAGGGTCACAATTAATTTTTGAGTGATTGTTCATTTTTTCTTCTTTCAGTCGACTTGCTTGTTTTTGGTTTTTGGTTGGCGCGCGTGTGTGTGTTGATTGAGAGCCTCATCGAAAAAAAGAGTCGAGCATTGTCTTAACTGCTTCGAAATGATGTGGTTCTCTATCCAATTACCGCACGAATGGAACGTTTTTGACCTTGTTTCCGGACGAAGTCCTTTTTTTCCGAGTTTTTCTATCGCTCTCCGTCAAATTCGATTGCCGCTCTCGTTGTTTCAGGACCTTCTTTTCTCACCAGACAAAGTTTCACTTTTTTTTCATGAGTTGAATGATTTTGCTCTTTGAAAATTCAATTACTGTTTATTTATGAACTTTTTTGAGATTTTTTAGAGCGCGCCAGCCGTTCTCTGGCCTAAATTCTACGAGGAGCACAGCTTTCAGAAAATAAATAAATATTTAGACTCTGTATCGAGGGAATTCGTTTTTTTTTTCCGAAATCCTACCTTAGCTTTAAAAAAAAAGTAAAAATCTTTCTGAAAAGAGCGTAATTTTATATAGTATACCCATAACTATCTGAATGGAATAGTCTTAGTTTAACTTTTTGAAAAAAAAAAAACGTTCCAGTGCCAGAAATTTGTTTGATCGGATTTGATTGCAAATATCTCCTAATTTTATCATTAAGCTCCGCAATACCTACTGAAATTTTTTTAAAAATTGTGACGCGTGCGGTCGCGAAGCGGCTCTACGTTTCCATATATTCTTTCAATAGTAATCAATTTTCGGAATGTTGAGCTTTTTCTCAATTTGCAAGGCTGAAAAAGCTTTTTGATTGGATTTCGCTGAGCGAAAGTTTGATGTGCAGGTAGACCGCTTCGCAACCGCACGCGTTACGATTGCGTAATGCCACACGACGCGCTGAATACTTGGTAAAAATCGTTCCTTTTCATTTCCACAATTTCTTCTTTTCTAACGAACGCAAGTGTTCATACTCTCTTGACAATTATGTCAGTGGCCGTTGATGGCGAAGCGACGGAAATCGAAGGAAACCGAAAAATCTCGGTCAGTACCGCCGAGACGAGGCCGGACTCTCTGCTGCTGCAGCTCCATCGGCGCCACTCTCTCCCCTGCCGACCCGAAACAGCTTCTCGCCTCGCCCACCAGCTCCTGCTATGGTATTTTTATATATTTCATCCACTTAACACGGCTTTTAACAGTTTGATCGCATGCAAGATTGCATAACTCCTTGCGGACCCTTAAGGAATTTCGAAGGCTTTGTTGTGACCGTTTCGCAGCCGCGACGCGTTGAGCCATTCCGCATGCGACCGAGGTCTTCCGGGGCTGATGGGTTAATCACTGCGTAATCATGATTATAGCTTTATCACGCTTTTTTGTATAGAGCTCACCAGTACTTCACATTAATATTTTTCCTTCCTGTCAACTTTTTCCAATTATGAATCTAGCGATTTCGAGGCCTTTCTGACCGAGCGCAAGCATAGTCCATTAATGGCTATCTTGGGAAGTCTCAGTTTTCCTTCAGCTTCTTGTTTAGATTCGTTGGAAACCTTGTTTTCAACTTTTTTTTTCTGAAAGTTTGATTTTACTTCAGATCAATTCAATTCTTGGTCCCGTGGTTGAGGCTTATTCGTGTCTCAAATTTTTTCAGGTCTATGGAAAAGGCTAGTTAATTAACTTCCAATTCATAATGAACTATTGAATTTTGTGTTCCTGTTCTCATATTCACAGAAAAATCGACTATTTTCAAACTTTGTTTCGATTTGAAAATCTGCATCTCCTTCATTACTAGTTTGTCGAGCTTAAATTGGTTGGAGAAAATCTATTTGTCTGAAAGTTTGATTATTGCTCAAACGGTAGACTAAAAGGTCTCGCAAACGTGAGAAAGACGCCTTTTTTAGAATAATTTTCGTTTTTTCTTCTCACGATTGGACACTCCATAATTCATAGAATAGTGTCAGTTTCCTTGCTTCCTGCGAAGATTTCACGTTATATCGAACGTCTTCTGTGACTTGAGAGTTTCGGAAAACACTTCCTATTTGAACTGACCACTGCTTTCATCCCTACAGCCACTCTCAAATCATTTATTCATTAATTTTTATTAACAGTGTATGCTTTAGGGCTTCCTCAATTCCTCAATATCTTGTGTCACGCTTCCAATGCTCTGAGATAATCCATTAGGCTTTTCCGGTGTTATCCAAATTTTTGAGAGTAAAAAGTTGTCTTGTGATTTCAGTGATTATCTTTTTCTTGCTTTCTGCATCAAATATTCTTCTTCCTGCTTAGTATCTGGAGGATAGAGACACTTTTTCGAGTCGAATTATTTTAGTTAGCGGGTTCTAAGTAGGCGTATTGGTTGACCATGAGGCAGGTGAATATGGAATTTCTTGAGCGTCGAAGAAAAAAGAAAAAAAAAAGTTTATTTTTATTTTCGGAAGTTCAAAGACTCGTCATTGATCTAGCAAGTTTTTGACGTCTATTTGGACTTCTAATTTCTCGATGTTCAGACCAAATATAGATTCGGCTCCGAACGGAAAAGCAAGGCCGTTTCGGGGTATCGAATTAATTAAGAGCCACGGGAATAACACTGAGTTCTTTTTTTAAGCTGCGCCAAAGGCTCCAGCGACGTTTATTCAAATTGGGTGCGTGTGTGCGACTTTTTCAAAATAAAAGTGTTTCTGACGTTTATTTGGAAATAATTCCTTGGGAGACTCGAGCGTTTCAAAGTATTTTTAGACTTTGAGAAGTGAAGAGCTCAAATAAGTTCGAATTTGAATGAAGAAAAAAACACTTTCATTTATGTTTTATCATGTTCCGAACAAGTCTGTGGAGCTTATTCTACAAAAACGCTGAATCCGTGTCTTGCAAGACGGTAAAAAGCTTATGAATTGGAATCTAATCTGTCTTCGACTAACTTGCAAATGCTGGGGCTGAGATATTTCCTGTCGCCGTTCCGGTTTTCCTTTTAACTGCCAGGGATGCAGTCGTAAACAAGGGAGAAAAGTCTTTTTCCAACTTGAATTTATTTTCTTTTTTTTTTTTCAAAACTCTGTTCACAATCGAAAATTCTAATGAAAACGAAATGAAGATGAAATTTGAAATTTGATACATATTATATAATATACTTCAAAAAGGAATTATAATTGGGTGCTTTAGATCTGAGAAGCTTAAGAAAGAATTGAAAATAGAAATTTCAAAAATTCTTGAAAATTTTATTTCAGGAAAATTCTGCAAAAACTCTTCAAAAATTGACTAATTCGGGATTTCTGCATTCTTCAATGTTTGAAAAAAAATAGAGAAGCATCAAACAAAGGAAAATATGTGATGTGTTTACGGCGAACCGCTTCGCGGCCGCATCCGTCACAATCACGAAGGCCGCGAAAATCAGGCGTTGTTTCTATTACTTTCAAAACGATGGCCTTGGGAGTTTGAAGAACGCAAAAAAGAAATAAACAAGTAGTCCTTTTCTGTCAAATTGTTCTCTTGAAGTAGTTATGGCAAATGCTGACTGAATTAGTGTCCGGGACGTTTTATGAGATGCAATGGACCTCCGAGGCCTCGCTTTCCTCTGTTTTCCTCCCACTTCTCCGGCAGTTCCAGTCCTGAACTAGGCGTTGTTCTTGCCGACTTTCCAGGTGTTGATCGTTCAGATGGACTGGATGTTCAAGATCCCGTTGATCCGAGGTTTGGCTTCGAAATCGAACCCCTAAGGAGTTTTCAACGGTTTTCCAGAAGCTTTTCGCAGCTAGTCCAAAAGAACTCTGCGCGACAATTTCTGGCAAAGTGTAATTTGTCCTGGGATGTTGGGTTTTCTTGGCGACTCGGCTCACTCTTTCCTTGCGCTTTCAAGTTTGGAACTCACCCTTATTCGGCCACTTTTCCGACCTCTGTAATTTCCGGCTTTTTATCCTCTCAATTATGTATATGCCTCTCAGCGTTTTATTGTGTATAATTGGGCCTTTTTTCTCGGCCTTGTCGTCTCAGATTTTTCTTGATGGTGGTCGTTTGGTAGCTCTCAAGATTCCGTTTCGGCGTCCGGAATATATTTTATTCTTTTTTTTTGAGTAATTTTTCTCCGTAAAATTACAGTTTCTCCGAAAATACCTACTGTAATTTTAGTAGAATTTTACGTAACTAGAAATAAAGCAGAGAAGTTTTTTTCAAAAGCCGATTTAGCCATTACTTTCAAGAACTTCTTTGCCTATTGAAAGCGTCTCTCAGACCTTGAGATTTGTTCATAGGTTCTGATCTATTTTCTCAATTCTATTTTTGAGTCCTTTTTTCAGAATCTGCTTCTCATTAGAGAAACTATTATGGATTTTTGATGTTGCTATAAGGATGATTATAATGTCGAAAAATTAATTCTCCAATAAATTTTCTAGAATTCCTATTCCAAATAATAAAACACGCACAACCTGATCATGAAATATTGAACTTTTTCTTCTGAGAAAATGTCCAAACAAATGCAAAAACTGTGGTTTTTCTAGAATATCGAGTTTTTGGCCGCAACCTAAGTGTCTAACGCAAACACAAGAAAACGCCTTTTCTGATGAAAAATTCCAGAAGTGTCCAGTTACTTCATGTATTTCATAACGAGTGTTGCAGGCGGAATCGCTGCAGCGACGACGAGCGCGACGGCGACGGCGATGGGCGGTCGTGCCGGGTCCGGCGGCGGCAACGCGTCGCCCATGTACCCAGCGACGGTAATCACCTTTTTGTCTCTTCCACATGAATTGAACTCATCTTGATAAATTGAAGAAAGAAACTTTGCTGAAACGTACTAGAATCCGTAAAAAATGATTTTTGAGGTATTAATGTCATTTTTTCGAGCTTTTTTTTATCGGATGGTCCACTCGGAATTATACGCAAGTTCATGTTTTTTTATAAAAAAAATATTGATTTAAAAAAAGTTAGAATTCTTGCAAAAAGCCCATTTTTGCAGCAAAGATGCTCTATGGACGAAATAGCATTTTTGAATTTTCCTTTATTTTTCTCACCATCTCCAGATTTAAATTTTTTCTGTTGCTCTCTTGTATCATTCTGCCATAAGAGCCACCGATTAAGATAAAGTTTTTATATATTTGGAACATTTATTTTGCAAAAGTTTTCATCATAGGAAAAAAGGAGTTTTCAACATAAAAATAAATAAATAAATGCCTTTTGAGCGGAATTCGAAAAAGTGAAGTGCTTTATTAAAATATTAATTATTGGAGGAAACAGAAGATGCGAGTTTCGGACCTTCGAAGAGTTATTCTCGTAGTTTTATCGCAATAATTTGAAGACGTCGAGAAGGTCGTCGTTGGACACTGGCGACGAGGCGACGTCGCCTTCTGGATGTCGTCATAAGCCCTCGTCCCATTTCGTTCTTGAACTTCCCGCCGTTTCGAATCGATGTGCGTTTCATTCATTTGGAAATTAAGAAGTTAGAAAGTGCAGCAGTAATGGTTTTGGAATCGAGAGTTTTTTGACCATTTTTTGAATCTTTCAGCCGATTTTCTTCTTTTCTTTTCAGAAAGTTCTGCTCTCATTTTTCCGCTTTTCAGCTTGAATTTCCGACTTATTATTTTTTCTACGAGTGTAAGCTTTTACGGGCTTCTCTTTGGAAAAAAGAAGTTGGTTATCCTCTACATGATTTTTTACTTGTTTTCGATGGTATCGACCCAATTATTTCTCTCAATTCTAACCTCAAAAACTTCTTCGATAGGTTCAAGTTGGGAAATATTTTGGAGGAGCGGTTTTCGAATGCATTTTTGAGCGATCGCCAGAGAACAAAATGTTCTCAGGCTGTTATTGGCTCGTTTTTTGGGACGGAAATGTCCTCATACCGCCGCTTCTCCCATTGATACTCCACAAAGGCGTCCGATAGAGTGGAGTTTGGGAAGAAGGAGGGAAACCTTGGCATTTTCGGGTTGAGTGATGTCATTATGTATCTGTCAAAGTAAGCGAAATCGGAGATACAAATCAAACTCTGTTTGTCAGATCGAGCCGGTATTTTTCTTGACTTTGTGGATATGAAACTTCGAAAAGCGAGCCATGAAGAATTACTTCACAACTAATTTCTTGATTTAAAAAAATGTTTATATCTTGTATTCTTTTGGAAACCCTCACTTTATGACGATATTCATGTTTTAATCACCTCGCCCAGGCGAAGCTTTGCAAACGGGAGAAAAATGCGAACACATTACTTGTCACACTAAGACATTACGCATTTATTGGAAGAAGACGTCCAAAGATGCGGAAATTAAATTTTCTCTCGTTCTGAAATGAAAAAGAAAAAAATGCGCGATATGTGGGAAAAAATAGTAGAATCCGCTTTGTTGGGCTTCTCCTCGTGAGGGGGATTTTCGGAATATCCTTGGAAATGTGGGAGTTTGAACGGAGGGAACGGGGGGATTGATCTACGCCAATTTTTTTTTTTTTTGAAATGATCAATTATTTTATTTTTTCTGCTCATAAAATTGCTGAGAATTTGTATGTGTCTTGTTTCCCTTCAAATTTGAAAAAATGTGGCTTGAAGGGACTAAAACTCTACTTAAAGTTGAAAAATTAGACAATTAGGCTTTTCGTATGTGAAATACCTCATAACTAATCCAGAAGATTTATAAGATCAGAAGGAAACCATTTTTTTATTTGTTTTTTTATTAATTTATAAAAAAATTTTTTTGTTGAAAAGTTGTGTTTTTTTAAAAATAAGAGGCGTTTCTTTCATGCGCTGATCTAAAAATAGTTTTTTTAGTTCCTTATTTTTTTGGAAAATGAAGTAAAATTTTTCAGTCTGTATGTCACTGCGAAAAAGTGAATTTATAAAAAATATCTGCTGTATTTCAAAAGCACCTTGATATGAGTAAAATTTTTGAAATAATCAGTTCTTTCCATAATTTTTTCAATGTCGATTTGACCAAAACTCACTTTTTCACAAGTCCCTACCTAATAATTTTCACAATATTTTTGAATCCTATTTCTTTCGATGTCCTTACTGTTGTGGAAATCAGTGTTCTAGTTATTATGAACTCAAAATTCACGTCTCCAAGAAGCACTCAGATCTCGGCATTTCGAAGCAGAAAAGAGCCACAAAAGATAAGCTTTTTATTGCAGTCCTATGACATTTTCATCGAGAGCATTCCGCGAAAAATATGTTGATAGATTATTTGAGGATTATGGCTACGGTAATGTTATTGTTTGAATAGATAAATGAGAAGTTTGACCTTGTTGAACAGAGGAAAATAATGAGAATGATGTGGATGGAAAAAAAAAGTCTTCATGAATAATCTTTCCTAATATAGAAAAAGAGGAGAATGACCCAGAATGAACACGAGCAATGGTCTTGGAGCGAAAAGTTCGAATTGAGATAATATAATTTATTAATCGCGGTCTTGTGATAAAAAATATTACGGAAGCCTCTCTTCTTGTGCACTTTTTTTTGTTAAAATTGTAAAATCGTTTGTAATTGTCTCGAGCTAGCGGTTAATGAACTGTAATCATGAAGAAGTTTCTTGTAGTCTGAGCTCTGGGATTTTTGAAAATTTGGTGATAGATATGGGGTAAGAGAGTTTACTTTTAAGGAAGGATTAGGTCTCAAACCAAAAATGGTTTTTTTGAAAGTGTATACCTCTACAACTAGACACTTTGAGGGCCTTCATCTGTACCTTTCGGGGTTTTTTTTCTAGCGAAATTACACAGGACTCCAAATTTCACCTCAAAATGACCGCAGGTGTTAGAAAATAAATATCTTCCTGGCATTATGCCATAGAAAAAGGACACTTTTTTTCTCTGAATGAACCTCGAACGCACTCAACGAAAAGATGCAACTCATTTGATTAGACACAATCGACCGACGACTTCATTCTGCAAGATCCGACCGCGAGCAAGTGCCGGACTCTCGTTAGCCGCCTTGTCCGGGATCCTGCAGCAGGAAGCCTTTTTTGGCCTTTTCAAACCTCGCAGCTTTTCCTAGGGGTTTTCGGTTTTTTCTTTTCGCAAGAATGGTAAATGGTTTGTCTAGAAGTAGTCCCACGTTAGTTATTCAGATCGATTGATCCAAGAAATTTACCTTTATCACACGTGAGGTAGAGATGAAATCCATTACAACCTCTGCTCTGAATAACCTCAAATATTTTCTAATAGTTAAAAAACAATGAAAGAAGACAATTTTTTGGAGGAAGAGTAATGTGCCTCGATCTTTTCCATGTTTAAAAATTTAGTTATTTCTTCAGGTAATTCATAAAGTAATATGGAAATCGAGTTGATCAAAAGCTGGTAGTTTCTAATTTTTGAAGATCTTTTCAAATTAAGGTGTAAATAATTTTTTTCCTGTCAAAATAAGAATCAAAAAGTTTCAAAAAGTTATCCAGAAAGTATCCAGGATATTTGAATTTTTTTTTTCAAAACTGAGGCTTTTGAAAGATTCAAATAGAAGACATTTTTATAGTAAGCTCACGATTTTTTATTACGAAGAAAATCTTATTAACTTTCAGTATTTCTCGAAAATTTGCCAAGCTTCATAGTTTTGAGAATGCTCATTAAAAATGTGTAGCCTAACCTATCGATGTAGGCTTCTTCGATACCAAGTGGCACACGGCGTTTTACTCTAGTAATTAAAGTTTTCGGTTATCTCGATCTTGATGCGAATTCTTCTGCATCTCACTATCTTTTTTTTTGCGGCAGTCCAAGTATTTTGAAATAGCTTAGTTGTATTCATTTTACGGGGATATTTATAGAGATTTATAGCTTTTCAGCTTTTTTTTTACGATTATGGGTAGTTTTTAAAATTTTATTGTTTCATAAATTTCCCTTGTTTTTCAATTTCCTCAGCGCAAAAAGCAACGCGTTTAATTTTAATTGCGTGTGATTTTATTTTACAAGAAAGGTAATTTTATTTTTTGGTTTAGTTTTTTCTAAAAATTGACCAGAATATTCCTTTGACGTACCAGATGAAGGTACAGAAATTCACAACCTGCATAGCTTTTTAAATTCTCAAGAAAAAAAGGTCTTGGAATCGGAGGAAATCGTCGAAATTCGTAAAAATAGGCTTTTTCTTTAAAAAATTATCTCAAATAATCTTTTTGAAAAAAAGACATCTTTTTTTACATAATAAAAAAATTCTTTAAATTTTTCAAAAAGCCGCTTCAGAGATAGCCGGCAAACAGATAAAAGTACTAAGAAGGACTATAAGTCGAATTTATACTCGTTGAGTCCTTGATGCTGATTATAGTTCATTTTTTCCTACTTTTTTCTACTTTTTCTTTAATTTACAAACTTTGCCATTTACGGGAAAAGGTAGACATGGGACCAAAGTGACGAACAAAAAATTGAGAGAGTTGGACAAAAATCGGAAAGAGCAAAGGAAAGGAATGTAAATGCGATTTAGGGCCCAGTCAAAAACGCTGCTCTCTTCTTCTTGCTTTTCACTTTCCCTTATTGCCGCAAAAAGGCTTTTTTTCTTGCTTTTGTAGTTTGAAACAGTGTGTGGTCGATTCGAAACATATATCTGCTCTTTTTAAAATTGAAAATAGGGTTGAATCTTTGAAGTAGGAATCAGCTCTGTGTAAAAAATTATGAAAGTTTATTCACAAAATTTTTTTAAACGTAAATTGCTTACTGTTTTATTCGAAGGCTCATACCCTCTGGTATTATTTTTACAAAATTTTAGGTGTTTTTCAAAGATCGTAATTATTATTTTTTTGCGGAGAAATGTGTGCTGTTTTTTTAAAATTTCTTTTGATTTCTTAACTCATCGATTCCATTTTTAGCCTTTTAAACTTCTACATAATCCTACTTTTTTTCCTGTTTTTTTGGGCAATTTTTTTAACTGAAGGAATTTTTTTTTAGAAGAAATGAGATCAGCTTAAAAATTAGTTTAGAGGAACCCAGAATAATTGCTTTTCGTTCAACTTCAAAAGAAAAGGTTCCCTCGAAATGTTTTGGTCAGCCTTTTTTTCGAAATTGTTTTCTCGGAATTTCCATTCTTCTTTTTGGAAGTATTCTCGATTTTTTTTGCTCACAGGTTTTTAGAAAAAAAACTTAGTGATAGGAAAAGCTTATAAGTTTGAACTAGAAGTTCGCTCTATAGCTAATTATGACGAGAAAAAAGAAAGCTAGCGATCAAATTACATGTTCATCCGCCAATGAGTTTCAACTTCTCCGCCCGATGGACCATTGAAATTTTTATATTTCAGTTCACTTTCACCCGTTTCGAACACGAAATTCGTACTTTTTGGTCGGCTTGAGTTATATCGAAATCAGTAGCTTCAAGGACAAAGACTTGAAAATATAAAGATGCTGAAAACCAAGGAAAAAAAAAGTAAAAAAGTAAAAGGAAATAAAATGTTTCTTTGAAATGAAATCTTTCTTTTTTTATAAATAAGAGAACGGGATCTGTACATATTTTTGAATGAGCGCTGAGTTCCAATTTCAGATACACAATGATTTAAGTTTTTGCTAGATAACCCATATTTGAATGATCTTATGCTCGAAAAGCTTCTAAGACTTCTTTTTTGTCTTCCTCATAACTGCGAATTTTTATCCTCCTGAATTCATAATTATTGAGATTTTCCTCTTCTAGCTTTTTCAATGTCCACCGCATCGTTTTTGACGAAAATCTCAATAAACTTGAAAAATGATGTATTTCAGAAATGCATCTGTTGGGGTCCAATGAATCCTGAATGAAGTGGTTTTGACGCCGCGATTCGTCCCATAATTCGCGGCCAGACAAAAAAGGACTTCCAGTAAAGATATCCTTGGAGAGAAATTGGGCTCAGTTCGTCCCAATTTTCCGCCCATTTTCTGCTTCTCTTCAGAAATTACTCGCATATTTGGGCTGTTCTCAAGTTTTTCAAGTTGTTCAAGTATCGCTATTCGCGCTGCTGATATTCTTTTGAAACTCTCGATTCCGAAACCCTAGGAATTACTGCTGCAAATCTGGAAAATGTCGGGTTCAATGTTAACTTCTTCGATGCTTATAGTGAGGAAGCTCAGCGAGGCCTTCTTCAATGCTCAACACGGCGACAAAATCGGTCAGTTCCTCTTTTTGAACTTTTTTTTTGCCTTATCACGAGTTAAACAAGTCTCAAAGATATCACATTTGAAAAAAATAAATATTCAGCAGGTCGAATGATCAGTTTGGCTCTCAGAAGTTTAAGTAATGGAATCAGAAAGAAAATAGAAATGTTTAATAAAGTCACTCGGTCGTGTAGTTCATCCATTTCAGCTGCTTGCAGAAAAATTCAAAGTTTATGTTGAAATTAGCCATTCTTTGAGATCAAAACGTTCTCCAATGATTCCAATGAACTCTGGGATCATTATCTATATATTTAAAAAGTTCTCCAAAGGAAAAACTTTTTTTGTCATTTTATTATGGCTGCAAAATTGCGTCAAATAACTTAGAAAAAATTTTTTTTGAATCGATAAAGATTAGTACAGAAAATAATTAATGCAAAGCACGATGAACTTCTATTTGTCTGAATTGCAGGACTGTTTTTTCCTTTCGCTAAAAATTATTCATAGAACTTGGCGTGAGTGGGTGTGTTTTCGTTTTTTATATTTTTCCCAATCTTGGAACTCAAAAATAGGCTCTGTGAATATTTATTTTCGAATTCTCGAAAATCTTGTTGCTACGACTGAAAGGGCTTGCGTTCCAAATTTTTGCGATTTTTACCACTGATATTTTTTTCCATAACCATTATTGACTTGAAATTTTTTAATGGACTATCTCTGAAATCTGTAATATCTTCGGAAACTCAGAGAACCTTTATTTCTTTGAGGTGTTCTTCTACTGGCTGTAGCTGAACGATTTTCGCTCGGTTTTTGGAACTATTTACGAGACCTAAATTTATAAATAAGATTGAAACTTCTCAAATAAGTTGAAGTGATTATTTTTCCCAAAATGTTTTTTTGAAATTAATCTACGTTCATCCAAACGCTCAAACAAGCATTACAAACAAATTTCTTTTTCCAAAAAAAAATCTGGTTGGAAATAAATAAAGCATGACGTGGGGAAGGACGGCTCTTTACTATTTCTGTCATCTTCTGGTTATTTATCCGCTTCTTGACGTCATACCAGGCCGTCCTCTGTAATTAAGTGAAAAGGAAAGGCTCCAGGATTCATTTATCATCTGGATCGATTCTCACATTTTCAGATCTAAATTTGCTGTCAGTTCTAAGAAGAACCGAATAACTGAAGAGGTTTTTGAGATGAGTAGATTAATTTGATTCTTGTTCGAGGTTTTCTCATCTCTTTTCCTTTTTTGCCCTAAGATTATGCCGGATTTCTGGGAATCCTCTTCCAAAAAAGGGCTGCGATTCCTTTGAGAGATATTCTCCGTGCTCCACTTCCTCCTTCAGATTCATACGTTCTTGTTTTTCGGGCAAAGGGTGAAACATTCTAGTTTTGGTGCTTGAATAGTTTGTATTTTTGGAACATTAAATTTTTTTCAATATTAATGAGAAAGATCTTTTTTAAACTCTTCGTATTGCTGGTCCAAGTAAAGGCTTTACTGTAAAGCAGAGAATCTTTAAAAAAATTTATTTTTATTCTGTTGAAAAAAACTTAGAGTGGCTATTTACGATTTAGAAGCTTTCTGGAATCATTCAAAAAAAAAATCAAAAAAGATTTGAGGACATCCAAATGAAAAATATATATGAATAAAAAAAAAAACTTTTTTTGCACTATTTTTTTCCGAATAATTCAGATATTTCCGGAAGTCGTTTTTTTGAATTTCTATTCCAACAAAAAAATTTTCTATTCCAACAAAAAATTGAATGACTCACAGCGTAACGGCTGCGAAGCAGTTATCAATAAAGAGCGCCAGACCAAAATCGACTTACGCGTCTTCATATGAAGCTTCTTGTGAGTCCAACAGAAACGGCTGAGCCATTCCAAGTGCTACCAAAACGTTCAATGTCGTGGCGATTAAAGTGTAACTTCTGATAACCAATCATTTTTCACGTAGAAAGAACACGGGATGCATGGAAGACTTGGCTGGCCGTTCAAGTTGTTCTGCTTGGTTTCCTTCTTTCTTTTCTTCCCTTTTTTTGAGGACAATTGTCGCGAAAGTCGATTTGTGCAACACGGCGTGTATCTTTATTGGCCCCGTAGGAAATCAGCCCACGTATTTCCTGCTTTCGCTCAACGAATTCCCCGCTTCTCCGAGAGCCTTCTGAACACATATTTTATGGAAATTGAATGCGTCTTGAGACAATTCGTCTTTTTTTTTCTCATCTCACAATTTTCTTGTTGTTTGGCTCGTTGCGCATCTTTGGTTATGCATTGGCGTTCCGAAAAAATTCCGACGACAAGAAAAGTCGTTTCCTTGTGAACTTTGGAGTTTTTCTGAGAACTTGCTCCTTTTCTGATGACCTTTTCACAAGAAGTTTTCGAAAGTGGATCTTGGCCGATTTGAAAAAGAGGAAAGCCACGCGTTCACGTTTTGGTTAGAAACTGTCCTACAGTCGATTTGATATTAGTTGATCTAATACATTTTTATTCCATTGCGCGAAACTCGTTTCGAGTCGGTCGCGTCTTGAAACAAGTGATCCATAACTTTTACGAATAGAGCCATTCCACCTGCGGCTACAGTGTTCTAAGTAATACCTAAAAAAAAGCTGCTGATAGAACTATTCAAAAAATCTCGCTGAAAAAATTTTCTGTCATGTGAAATTAAACTTTTATTACTGTACTATGTTTCGTTTGTTCAAGAAAAAAAGTTGTCTACTTTTTATTTTATTATCGCGACATTTCTCATTGAATTAATATATTAAATTTTTTTAATTCATAACATTATTATATCGTATCGAAGTGTAATGAAATTGAAAAAAACTTCAATTTTATTTATTATTGCATAGTCGAAGCTTGAAACGTTTTTTTCAATTCGGTATTTTGAGTTCAAGAGCTCACAAAAGCCCTAAAACCCATATACTTCTCAAGTTTAGTACAAACTTCTTGTTTAGAAGAGAACCATCTTGTATTATTTCAATTTAGAATAATTCGAATCTATCGCACTGTCTACAAAAATCTATAAAAAAAGACTTGGCTAGCCGATCGATACAATGATTCGCTAGGAGCTCTCCTAGGCCTCGGCAGGCTGCTCATGAATAAACGAATAGCCAAACTTTGAATGTCGAAGACTTTCAGATGTAGCCAGAAAGGAGGAAAATTGTCTCGAGCCCTGTAATTTGCCTGAATCCTTGTGGATTATCCCTACTTAGCGGTTTCTTGAGCCCTAATTAGCCGTCGGACGTCGAGAGCCGACTTCTCCAGTTTCAGTGTTCTTTCCCCTCCTTTCTTCTGATCTGCTTCCGAGTCAAAACACCTCGAGTAGTACTCAATTACTCATAGGAAGTTGCATAAACAATGTCACGGACAATAAATCAAAGTTGCCGTCTTCGTCGGAACGAGTCTCGCGCCGCCCACTTTTTCCTCGCAGTTCTCCCGAATTTTTAATGTCTCTCGCGTATTTCATCCTACACTTCTCGTAATAATAAAGAAGATGCCATCTTCCAACTCCTTCATTACTTGGAATCTTCTTTTCATCCTCCAATTTTTTATTCAAGTTAAGGCCTCTTCGATACCCTTTCTTCGATCTTGCCTGTAGAAAAAGTCGTTGAATAAATTTTTTATGATTGGCTGAAAACTTTCTGTTTTTTGCACTAATTCGATATTCTGAAAGTCTCAACTTGGAGAAATACCTATTTTTCTAGAACCTAATTTATTAAGCTTAATTTTTTTTTGCCAGAAATGGGTCCTGGTTCTTTATTCAGAATATAGAATGTATATTAGACCAAATCTCAAAAAAATTTTATGAAATTATAGCATAATCAAATTTCTGAGCTTTTTTTGAAAATCTTCGAATTTGATTTTTTTGCGTTAGAACGGCTTTCGAATTGATAAAACTGATTTGAAGGAATAAAAACCAGTAATGGATTTCAATTCAAGATACGTATAGTGAGAAAAACCAGGGCATTCGTAACTTACTTGATTTTTGTAACTCTGATGATCCATTTTTGCCCTACTTTTTCAAAAAAATCCAAAAAAATCGATAAGAGTTCGGAAAAAAAAAAACTTTTCCTAAATTTTCTTATACTTGTAGGAGAATCTATGAATTATGTTCCGCATACAGTCTTTGAGAAATTAATTTTAGCGGAAAGTTTTGGAATTTTTACGTGGGAGCAATATTCCGATCATCGGCCGAGTTGAATTTTTTTAAACTGCATTTTTAAATTTTCAATCTTGAAAAAAGGTTTCAATATTAAAAGTCTCGAAACGCTTCATTTTATCACTTTGATGTTTCTATTTTATTTTTAGTTCTATTTTTACAAAACGTCATACGCCAAACAACAGACTAGTAAGTAGAGGAACACTATGAATTTTTATAAATACACTCAAAATGATGTTCTTTTCGAGAAACAAAACATAAAACTGTCGCAAAAAACCACTCGAGAGCCACCGAAAAGCCTCTTATTTCCGGCGGCAGAACTTTAAGCTTCTTTCATGCTCTGCATATTTTGCCCAAATTCGGAATTTCTTCGCTTGTACAACGAACCTTTCGAGCTTTCTTCTGTGCAAAACGGCTGAATGTAGCTGAGTCTATAAATTATACAAGGGAGAAGGGAAAATTGGGACCTTTAAGTGCTTTGGAAATAGTAATTGTTGTTTGCACTCAATTTACATCGGCTCCCTTGCCAGGTTATTCTCCAAAATGCCCAAAAAGCGAACTTTCGAAAGCTGCTCTGTGCTTTTTTCAGTTTTCAAAATTCATTTGTTTTGCCTTTCTTCTCTCCGAATCCCTGAGAGCCCTTTTAAAATTATATTATTTCCCATGAAGTCGACCGCAGATTTTTTTTTTGATTTTGAAGTTATGATTTTTCTGTGATTAACTTGATGGAGAAGCCAAATAATAATATAGAAGCTATGACATTTTTTGAGGTTCTGAAAAGTTTCTATTATAACTTTTCGGAAATAAAACTTTAAAAATATTAATTATTCTTTTTTTGCCGTTTGCACTTCTTCAGTTTTACTAGCGAAATCTCTGATGTTGGTAGTGAAAACTGGACGCGCTACGGACATTTCCGAGCGATTCTAGGGATCATTTAAGAGGGCTGCCGCTACTATAGGGGTCACTAGAAAGGCTCCGACATGTCCGGAGTGCGTCCAGGGAGGTACGAGCAAGACCCGAGAATTATTAAATACAAACTTTGTCTGTAGAGCGCACGAAACCTTTTCTTTCTTTTTTCCAGAGAATTTTCTATTTTCAATTTTTTCCAAACTTACAATTCTGAGGCGCGGACGACAAATCAAAAATAGAGCCGAAAAAGACAGGCTACATCATAGGAAATCTCTGAGAAACAGGAAATTGAACAGCCCCATTCTCGGTCGGACAAAGTAGGTGCTTGTGGCGAGCAAATTCATTACTCGGACAACGACAATTCTCCGCTTTTGGGCCGTCACAACCCCACTACAACTTCATTTTATAGGTTACTTTTACTTTATTTTTCTAATGGACGTCGTCGACACCCAATATTGTGGACTATATCGCAGCGAGAGTGTTGCTATACCGCGGGGGAGCCGCGAGCGATATCGCTCGCCTCTCTCTGCGCCCTCGCAAACGTCTTGCGCCATATCGCTCTCTGAAAAAAATGTTTCTTCAAAAAGGATTTTTTTCTTTAATTTGATTAATTTCATCATAAAATCAAAAAAATAAAGCAAAAAATTTTTTTTCAAATTTCAATTTTTTTGAGAGGGGGACGATATAACAGAGAGACTTTGACGATATCGAAGCAAGAAGCCTTGGCTATACCGCCTGCGTCCCGCTGCGATATCGGCAATCATGTTGGGTGTTTTCGATTTATGGTTAGGTTTTAAGAATATTTCGCAGAAGTTGGGCGAAGAGAAGATTGATCAATTAGAAGGTTCGATTGGAAAAAAAAACTTTTCCTGTTCGATCTTTCAGAAAACAGGGTAAGAGTTCAATGGTAAAAATTTCAATTCTTACGTTTTTGCTGCTTTTTCCCAAAAAAACGATCAAGATTTTCACAAAATAAAATTTCGATTATTAGGCTGGAATCTGTCTTTGGAATATTTCAGCTCCCACTTTCCTTCGAATTGAAAACTATACTACTCTTATATGGGCATGTTGGTCGTCAATTTTTTTGGTTTGTGGACAAAGGGAAGAAAAAAAGGCGTGCGTGAGCGTGGATATTAAATTTCAAATTTTCAAATTCGCCCACTTTTTTGAACTCCTTTGTCCTTTTTATGGCCCCACGCCTTGGCATTTTGAATTACTTTGATCTTCAGTCGCCTTTTATTTGCAAAAAGCTTTGCGATTGACAAAGAAGTTCGAGGCTTTTTCTCTTCGCTTTTCTTGTTTCCAGGCATCGTTTCTTTTTGGACTTTCTACCGCTGTCTTATTGACTTCTCTTGTTAATAATTGATTGAGACGCAGGAAAACTCAGATCTTGCCGTTGTTTGGCCGCTACGTTCCTTTTTTCTAGTTTATTCATGATAATCGTGAAGGTGCAGCGTTTTCTTACAATCTTTGAATTGAAAAAGTTTTGTAAGGAAATTTCGGCTCTGCTGCTTTTGTGAAATCTTTCTCTTAGAAACTTGCTTTTTTTTCCTCTGGAAGTTCTAAAATCCTTTAATATTTTTAGCGACTTCATTTTGCTGCAGATTGTCGTTCATCCAGAAATCATTCAGGGTATTTTCAAGCCGAAAACTGGGAAAAAAGTTCAATCATTTTCCTAGGAATCCTCTGAACATTAAAAGGTCAAGCTTTGATAACATAACCTATGGAAAAGATAGTAGATTGAAAGCGGTTTTGAAAAGTTTCTGTTTCGAAATACATTTGGAAGTCTAGGGGCTTCAATTTTTCACAGCTTTCCAGCTTTTCAGATTTTCAGTATATTGACATTAAAAGTTCCAACCATCATAGTTATTATTGGTTCACTTGGAACACGCCGACAAATATATTTTTTTCTGAACGTGCGCCAAGATTCGATTACCTTGCGTCGGAGCCCAATTTGAACCATTTGAAAACAAAAAAAAGAAAGGAAAGAAATCTCATCACCGGTTGTCTCCGTCAAACGCACCGCTCTGTGCAATTGTCAACCGACTGAGCGTGTTTTTGCGCCTTCGACCACCCATTATACTTCATTTGGCATGTGAG